ATTTTTGTTGACCTTTGTCCATGGAAGGTCCCTGCAAAATTTCATTGAAATTGGTTCAGGGGTTTTGGAGAAGAAGATTTTTGAAATTTTAGTCAATTTGACCCTTTTTGGCCCCGCCCCTCAGGCCCCTGAGGGCTTAGGACTAAACCGGCAACCATTTTTGTTGACCTTTGTCCATGGAAAGTCCCTGCAAAATTTCATTGAAATTGGTTCAGGGGTTTTGGAGAAGAAGTCGAAAATGTAAATTGTTTACGGACGCACGACGACGGACAAAAGGCGATCGCAATAGGTCACTTGAGACTTTGTCTCAGGTGACCTAAAAAAATCATATATATTGCATTGTATACATGTATTGATACTGAATTCAAGTACATGTATTAATCAATGTAAGACATGCATTGAGTGACACATGATCTAGTTAGTGATCTCACAAGGAAGTACAGAAAAGGTGCAGGATTTCATGAAACTAATAGTGTGAGAAATACAACCTGCAGTATTCAAAATGGTAAACTGGCACCCAACAGCATCTCTTTTCAACCATCTTAAGATCTAATAATATATTAAACTTTTGATTAAACTTGCTAAAATTTTGTACCGTGATATCATATCTATAGTTTTGTATCAAAGCTATTATATAATGCCTTGGACCAGGACACAACCAGCGGATAAATGAACTATGAGCTGTTGTTTGATAACTGAACTTTAGGAAGTAGATATTGTGTCGGATACAAAGTTACTATTTAAGGCTATTGCTATGTACGACTATGTATGTTGAAGTGTGTGAAATGATCCGAGGATTTACGACTCCATTGACGTTGTACTTACATGGTGATGATGCTGTTTTGTTCACCACGAGCAGTCACATAGATCACACTGAAAAAGTTGGGTGGTACCACATGGTCTGGCATTTGCTACAGAGACAAAATAAAATCATTTGATTACTTGGCAGACCATACAGAAATCGACGATATACAGAAATTTTGGGTATACAGATTATCTAACACTAGTTTCTGCTGTTATATATTATTGTATGTTTCAAAATGTATTCATTGCCTTGATTAAATGCAAGACAAGTGTCAAAAATGGTCGACTTCAAAACCCTCAAAGCATTACTGGAAAGTGTTCTTCCAAAATAACGATTAATGACTGGCTACCATGTTGGTTTAGCTTTGGAAGTCAGTCACTTCAATGCTGATAGTATTTGATGCACAAATAACTCGAATAACACCATAATCACAAAGCTTAATCTTGAACAGAGCTAATATCACATTCACTGAAAGATGATGTCATGATGAAGTATTATGAAATTGTCCCAAATTTTTGTACGATCTTGGTTTATTTGAGAAAATTACATTCCTTTAATGCAAGAAAGGAGAGCAATTATATACACAATTCTGTTCAATGGTATCTCAGTCAAATCATGATAAAACAACTGAGACTGATAAAACAATTTGCGACTTTAAAATGACTGAAAATTCCATTGTTTAGGAGACTTTTAAGTATTTTCTTGCGACTTACGAAGTTGCTGTTTCTGTGTGGAGACAGCCTGGAGTAGTACTTGTATCGACTGACCACTGCCATTGTACTGGCATCATGGGTGGGTGTATTGATGGAGTAGTACTGCACTGGTCGCCTACCAAACAAACTTACAAACTTAAAAACAGGAGCAAATGAGAGCCTGTGTGCTATTTTGTCTCAAAAACTTTTCACCTTCCAGGCATATAAGCCTGTCTATTAAGCTAATGTTGTTTATTTTTTATTCAAAAAGCAGGAGGCTTCCTCATTTAAAGGTTAAAACTAAACTTAGGACCTGGAGGGTGGTTGCCAATCAGGCTGAAGCTGTGAATATAAGGGATTTTGTCAAACTTGGCTTTGGGAGACTGTTTTGGTCTCTTCTGGCAGCTGATTTCATTGTTGGACAGCTCTTTGGACTGGTGGTAACCTACCTGTAGACAGCCTTGGATTCCCTCTGTTGGTAATAATTAGTACCTCCAGCTAGTACTAAAGCTGATGTATAGCACCTGGATGGACCTAGGTCGACTAGGTTCTGATCAATTTTATAGTACGTTTGAGCTTTTGAGTTTTTGACAGTGTTCCCATTCAACTAATTAACATTAATGAGGTTTGCAACACAGGAAGGTGAGAATTTGTAGCAGTATTTTTCATAAATAAATCAGTCTTAAAGCTTCTCTACATATGTTCTAAGTTGAATTTGGGTCAGGGTGACTTGTATCTGTAAGGTCAAACCACTTCAAATCTTCTGCAGAGATCATAATATTCAATCCAGTTCAAATATACGCTGCTATTGGTACCGTACAGGTATCAGAATTGGGTGATACTTTGGATGTACACTGCTGTGCACCATATATACTTACATGCATGTATTGTACATGTATTTGACATTTCTTCTGTATAATAGAAAATACATCAAACGGGAGGTTAATTGTGGCAAGTTATGCATGAATACTTCCATCTTGTTTTCATAAATATGTAATCCAATGCTATAAAACATGAAATAAATCACAATTGATGATAGTAATCGTTAGTACAATACAGCCCAAACTATTATTTGATTTTTTTGTGTGTGCAAAACCAGAGATATGCACAGGTTTATTATTTCACTGGCAAAATCAGGGTGTATAATTCCCCTAGCCATACACACACTTGGGGGTAGTAGATTTTATGTTAGGGCTAGTGGACATCTGCAATATTTACTTCGAAAATATAGGTCAGGTAAGTAGAGTTTTTTCAAAGTTTTCCTGCAGGCTAGTACTTTAGACTCCTTAAATATGAGTTGAAATACCTGACTCTCCTACTATTTCCATTTGTATTCCCGTCATCATTGGCTCTGTAAGTACAAAGTAAAATATTAATTTTTAAATCGTGAAAATGAGCAGTTGATTTATTGTTTCTTTGCGACCACACAAATAATAATTTATAAAGTACATATATTTAATAATGAAATTAATATGACTTGTCTTTATTTTGAATTCGCTTATTATTCATTCTCTGTGTTAAAATTGCGATTAAAATTAAACCATAGAACTGCACAACGCATTGTAGGTATATCCTGATTCGATAGAACCGTGAAAGACAGGCGATATGCATACTTTCGCATCTTTTACAGCCGTATGAAATAGAAGGCCGGTTCAGCAACCGAATAGCTATTTGCAAAATAACAACAACATACAACAGCCGACAGAGGGAGGGGTGGTATGTCTACCATGTACAAGTAGCTCTTACTCACTCCGAATCCTCTCCGATATCGTCGTCATTTCGTTGCAGGGGCGAATTTTCATCGCCACTGCCGCTGCTGGGTGAAGATCCACTCATTCCAGTTTTAATATGATACAGAAATCACATGTTAGTTCGCTGTCAAGTGTGTCAACTTAAACAGAAGTGAACTTTATCCGCAGCAGAATACTGCTTCCGGTTATAGTCTTTTCCAGTTTAGGGCGACACAAAGATTTATAGCGTGTTTCGTAAAAAGCCGACAACAGCGCCTTCAGATGACAACAGAGGCAGCCCAAGACCGTGCCAAATCGAATCACTCTTTGCCAAAATATGCCTACTTATAAATAAAAATGTATCATCAGTAAAGTTATTACGATAATTTATCCTTTTCATACATAGTTATGCATTATTTTTAGCAGGGATGTTTTTAGTCTAGAGACAATCTACTGATTAAAACCAGATTATTTGATCTTTCATTCGATCCACTCCCTTATACTCTAACGTCACAGTCACCAAATCGGGACACTTCAGTGAAGGAAAATGTCACAAGAAATTTGCATGTTGTGCAAAGAAGTATTTTTAAATTGAAAATATTGATTTAAAGATGCTAATATACCAACAAAACATTATATTAACTTTATTTACTGTCACTTAGCCTATGGTTACAATCACAGTTTTAGTTTGTAAATAATGATGCGCTATGCAACGTTAATGATTTTCAATTATTGTATGTGACGTTTGGAAAAGGAATTCATTCAGAACGACCCTTGGCTCTTAAAATTAAGATTCCAAAGATATGCCATGTTCTGCTAAATACTGTTTTCATCTCCAAAATTGTTGAAGACGCTTTGAAGTATGACCCGTCAACAGTAATTAAATAGATCATGTGGTATTTTTTTTATTTTCATAAGCTGGGTTAGGGAGGTTTTTTTAAAGTGAGACTATGGTTTCAGTATTTCGTGAGAAAATAGGGGTACCAAGCTTAAACTGTCAAAATACAAGATGGTGGCCATGGCCATCTTGGTTTTTTCCCAGATCAGTATGAAAATGAAACTTGCGCAACTAAAGACCACGGGGAAACTACATACGAAATATGAGAGAAAATCTGTCAAGTATAACAGTTAGTTCTTGAAAAGTAGCAAAAACAAACATAATTGAACTGTCAAAATTCAATATGGCTGCCTAGCTAGCTAGCAGTCGGTCAGTCCCCATGGGAAACCGACAAATAAAATTTGTGAAAGATCTGTCTAACACTTAAGAAAATGGAAGAGAAACGAAGGGGAAAGATCAAACTTACTTACCAATGAATAATAAAGATCTTACGGTAGTGGGCGGCAGGATTCCTCTAGGATCTCTTGTTTTATTGATCCGCTTTCTGTGTTTTTATTCGCTTGGTAGCTATCACTGAGATTCTCGTTTGATGTAGAAAACTCTTTACAAGACAAGACATGGGTCGTAATCATCATTATTTACAGGATGTATATATTACCGATATTGGCATTAGTTATGATGAATATATATACAGGTAATCTGGGTGTTTTTTTACGGGATGCATGATCCGTGTTTGCGTTATTCAATATGCATATATATGGTCTGTATAATGTTTGATTAGAAGATATTTTTTAGTTTGTGTTGGTGCTATTCAGTGTGTATATACCCTAGGCTAGCGTTATTCATGATGTACAGTCTACATTTCTTGTTTACATGATATATATATTACCTGTGCTCGCGTTAAAATAATATGTACACATGATCGGTATTGCTGATGTGTTGGCATTGTACAGGATGCATATAATCGCGCTTCATGTTGGATTTGTCTTTGTCCAGTTGGCATTCATATTGCTCATGAATGCCAACCGAAAACAGTCCAATACTTATATTTACCATTTTTGGAATCTGTTCATGTTTTCAAAACGTTATAAGCCTACCTCGTGAAAGTAGGTCAAGGTCATTTTCGTTATCTAACTTTGTTGCACTCTTACTAACGAAGCTACTAGCCACACATTAAGGTTCTATACCTTTCAGTTCTTCAAAAGAAGCCGTTTTAAGTATTTGCCGCTTTTCAGCCCAGTGACCTTGATAATAGGTCAAGGTCATTTTCGTTCTCAAAACTTTGTTTGGCTCTTACTAACGAAGCTACCAGCCAGATATTAAGATTCTATACCTTTCAGTTCTTCAAAAGAAGTCGTTTTAAGTATTTAACGCCCAACAAAGTTTAAAAACGAAAATGACGACCTACTTTCAAGGTCACAGGGGCACTATAGTCCCGCTTTGTCAAGTTTAACAGGTGTCACATTATCAAAGAGATATTACTTACATAGGTATGTTAAGCTAAAGTAATTGGGGTATAGTTTTCTATCATTTCTTAACCTCAAGCTTGTACGAGTATGCTGCACTGAGAGGCGGAATGTTGTATATTGTACTTACATGTAGCCATGGGTCACTGTAATACAATTTGTGGTATTTGTTGTATCCAAGTTATGCGGTTATGAGATAACCTGGTTAGTGACAATCAAGACGGCCTGTATTGCTCACCTGAATAATTAACCAGTCATAGCAAATATTCTCATTAAATATTATATTGTACTACAAATTTGTCACTCGCAAACTTAGTCGCTCCATCTGTCGAAACTACCAGTCAAATATCATTATAAGATCTTGTATGTCAATTCATTTTCCTTCTCAAACTTTTATAGCTCTATCCCAAGCTACCAGCCAAATCTTATGAATCCATTCCTTTTGGTTCTTTGGACAAATCCTTTTGAAATGTTGTTGACCTCTGTGACATTTAAAGAAGGTTCAGGTCATTTTATTTTGCAAACTTTGGTGAGCTCTATCCCAAGAAGCGACTAGCCAAATATTATAATTTTATGCCTTTTAATTATTTTCAGAAGTCACTTGATGTTTTTGACATATTTGACATCTGTGACCTTGAAGAAAGTCAGTCATTTTCATTCTCAAATTCAGGAAACCACAAGGCAAATATGAAGGTTCTATACCTTTTAGCTCTTCAGAAGAAGTCGTTTAAAGAGTTTGACATATTTGACCACTGTGATCTTGAAAGTAGATCAAGGTAATTTTCATTCTCAAACTTTGTCGGGCTCTATCCAAGGAAGCCACCAGCCAATTTTGAAGATTATATACCTTTTAGTTCTTCAGAAGAAGTCGTTTGAAGTGTTTGACATATTTGACTGCTGTGACCTTGAAAAGAGATCAAAGTCATTTGCATTCTCAAACTTTGTCGGGCTCTATCCCAGAAAGCCACCAGCCAAATATAAAGATTCTATACCTATTAGTTCTTCAGGAGAAGTCCTTTTAAGAGTTTGACATATTACACCCGTGACCTTGAAAGTAGGTCAAGGTCATTTTCATTCGCAAACTTTGTTGGGCTCCTACCAAGGAAGCTTTCAGTAAAATATCATGGCTCTACGCCTGTCCCTGCTTCAGAAGAAGTTGTTTAAAGGAAAAGTTGACGGATGCCGCACCAGGACATAAGCTCACTTGCCCTTCGGCAAAAACAGTTAACCAATGGGCATAATCACAAACTTCCATGTTCATATTGCACCAGAAAATACATTTTTCTGGTGGAAAAAAGATGGCGACAAGAAATTTTGTCCAGACTTCATCAATATGCATCTCCTGAAACTTAAGACCTGGCTATAGAGACCACACACCACAGGTATAACTACTGTTGGATGTACTTCCATTAACAGTCTTTGTAGGCTTGTTTTACTTACGTACACTGTAATATTCATTTCCCAGAAATGTATATATATTGTTAGATGTCGTTCTATTTTTACAAAATAATAATTTTTATATCACACAAGATAATGATTGGTCTCAATTTGTTCACCTGGCCATTTGATTTAGGAAATAAAGCTGAATGTTGACCAGTTGTTTGTGAGGGTGAGCCACATTGTACAACTTTTGATCCCCATAACACAAAGACAATGTTCTCTTGTAAACTGTATTTTATTCTAATGACTATATGGGAGTACAAACTTAATGAAATATTAAGGTTTCACAACAGAAATATAGTGTTCATCCCAGACCTATTCTAGAAAGTTCAATACGTTTACAAAGGTAGGAATATCAATGTTTAATATGAAAATTGTAATAAATGTTTTAAAATGCATACATTCTTTCAAGATAAAAATATATATACAAACTTTAGAATGTTTACAAAGTATGAAAGGGAACCAAAACATGCAAATCCTTCTTCTATATGACTTCACAAAGCCCATTCCAGGAATGCACAATAAGATACTTTGGAGCGTATTAAATCTGGAGATAGAGGTAGCAAAACAATGTTATAAAATGCCAAGTTACTGCGGATACTTGGTCAAAAAAGTGTACAATGTCCGAGTTAAGGATCAATTTTTGTAGCCAAGTCGGAAGCCTTTGTCATGAATGTTTCCTAATAGACTATCTTTGATAAAATATTCCTTCAGCATGCCCGTTTGACGTGCGATCTTTAAGATGTTATCTGGTTAGAAAGCTGTTCTATCTACTTAAAATATGTTATCGGCATATGACCTTGTTTTATTTTGACAATGTTGTTTACACCCTGTCAGGTAAAATAGTTCTAATACAACCTGGGTAAAGACAATTTCATGCTTACATATATACCCAGTCGACTAAAAGTGAATCAGACTTCAATAATTCTCCCAGGCATTCACAGGACTATGATTTAAAATGGGCACAAAACTTTTCGATGCTTATTCTCTAAATTTCTTATCAATGAAATTCCTGGTAGGATTATATTAATATTGTCTTAGAATGTTGGTAATCCTGGTATATGAAGTATTTCAAGCAAAATGTCTACACATTATATATAAATTTCCCTGAAACGAATTCACCAATAGGTTTCAACTTCCAGATAATTTCTGAATGTTTCTTTTTATGAAAATTCCCCATTAATACCAGGTATGTATTGGGTGTTGCAGAATTACTGATGGAAATCTCTAAGAAAATATATATACCTGTACAGTAGTGTATATATAAACCACAACACAAATTCTATCCATATGCAAAAAGGTCAAGTAACATATAGCCATGATGGGTTCGTCAGAAGCCTGAAAGGCTGATGGAGTAGGCAGGAACATGGCTTGGCTACAATAAATATTTCACTGGCAGCTACACAACTCAGTTAGGCTCTATCCAAACCTTTTGAAGTAGTCTCACTTTCCCAACAAGTTTCTTTTTAAAGCATTAGATTTCTTCATTAATACATCTACTTATGAATTTAATAATCATGGCGATTAGAATTCAGATTTATTCATAAAAATCATTTGCAACGTATAAGGAACAACATTTATTAAAAACTTCCTATAATTTAGAGAGAAATGTTGCCCCTTGACGACACAAGTGATGATGGTAACTGCAGTTGTCTTGTTACCCGTTACAACTTGCCTTACAGTAGTTGCATTGTTTGGTCCCCTTCAGTCCCACCCAAAAAACATATTCAAAACAACACAAGTCATAATTTATAGACCATAAAACCTGATTTCAGACACTGAGGTACATGTCTTGCAAGCGATTATCACATTTCTCTTCTTTCAAAATTTAAACCAGCATGAAAATGATTAGTACAAGCTCATAGCCAATTCATCACAATCTTTTTTTCTTTCTTTTTTTTTTTTTTTTGATAAAACATCTAACCAAAGAAGCAGAAAAACAGTATATATCTTGCAGCAAAGCATTATTTTTTTTATCATACATATAATAATACAGTACAGGGTTCTAACTACTCGGTATTAAAAAATAGATGGCGGAATTGTGTTTTCAAATACAAAAATTACATATTCTGTGGTCAACTTCTTACATTTCATTCAATATGATATGAATATTTACAAAAGGATTTATACATTGTAATATAAAACTCAGAGTTCAATTATGAAACAAAGCATTTTCTGGCAAATAAACAGGAGCAAACTTATGAACAATATGTTGTATTTGGTATACATTGTATTAAAATATAGTGTTGTATGTATATGAATAAATCTCAACATGTCTTGAATTATTAAAGGACTAAAAATACCACGTAGGTGCACCAACAGTGATGGCAGAAAGTCAGAAGACAAAAATAAAAATAATTAAAAAACAAACATCGATGACAATACAGGTATAATTTGCAGCACTAATTTGACAAGATGCAAATACATAGACCATACTTTACATAATTACCAAGTATAGCCTCACAATGTCATATTTAGTCGGGTTACTAGTTTGTAGAGATTTTTATTACAAAATTTCATCCTGTTCACTTATCATTACTAAATGTTGCATTCTGCTTGAATAACATATCCCTGCCAATGAAAACAAGTAAATATCGTAGGCCATTTAAGGCAAACTTAATCCTTTCACCACTGTAGACTATAATGAACTCATCCAGATTAATGTGTGGTAGAGCCACAGACTTAGATGTATTTCTGTGGTAGAGCTTACTTAGGTTACATAGGTTTGAAAGAGTTCAGAACACTTTCACATTGAAAAATACTAGCTCTTAAAAACCATCACACATTCTTAGTTTATCAAATGTTATTGTGTAAATATGTTTAACATGATGTTTCTAGCATATATATAAATCTTAAGCTGATAATATAGGCATTTCTGAATGTTTGAGCATTTTCAGGAGAAGAATTTTGATATGCAATATATCTGATTGACAATATTATTACATAATTGGAAACTTTCTTCAGTAAATTAAGTACAAATTTCACAATAATCCCCTCTTGATTTTTACCAAACTACTGTTCATTGGTGTCGCCATGTGTTTAACCAAACAAGAGGCCCAAGGGCCTTAGCGGTAACCTGAGTTATATCAAAGGTACTGGTAGCTTTATTTTATTGTTTAGATGTGATGTGGAAATCAGCATGTAAACTAAGTGAAATACAATACTTGTCATACAATGTAATACATAATTGTACCAATGTAATACATAATTGTAACCAAGTTTGAGTAATTTTCTGCAGAAGATGGATAAAATATACCAAAAAGTGTTATTTCCCTATATAAACTATAGTAAACTTTACCCCCTCCCCAAGGGAGAACGGATAGCTCGGGGATCCTGAAATTTACAATTTAAATAAAGCCCCTGATGATCTTTCTTTTTATGAGAAAATCACTGTAGTACCTAAGGTACTGAGTCTGGAGAAAAAGATTTTTGAAATATTGGTTAATTTTACCTTTGGGGCCCCGCCCTGGCCCCAGGGGATGGGGTAGGAATCCAAAGTTTACAATTTTGTAGCCTCATCTACCAAGAATGATTCTGACAAAGTTTGAAAAAAATCCATCTACTTGTTCTTGAGAAGAAGTTGAAAATGTAAAAAGTTACGCACGATGACGGACGGAAAGCGATTAGAATATGTCACTTGAGCAAAGCTCAGGTGACCTAAAAACTTAATTAAAGGGAGGTGACCTAGATCATTCATTGAAGGATCCCCCATATTTACAGTAACCTTCCCTTAATTTGTTTTGGCTATGAATGTTACATAGTTAGGCCAGAACACTTCCCTTGCCAACGTAGCACAGTTGGTTAGAGCGACAGTATAACAATCTGTTTTTGTGGGGATTTAATTTCGTGGATTTTTGTTATCCATGAAATAAACGAAATTAAATGTCCCACGAAAATATATGACTTTAAAGTAAGTTGTGGAAATGTGAGAGTTTAGTATTTATAAGCAAAATGGTTTACCCAGCCTTGCAGTCTGATGACCGTTACCATGAATCGTTTAGCAATTTCAACAAAACAAGACCAGTCAACAACCTAGTCAATGGGCAACATTAGAATATTGCTGTGAGCAACGGTTTGTACATTAACATGCGAATTACAATACTTGTCTGAATTATAATGACTGTACCTAAAACTATGTAATCAGAGGGAAGTAGGAAGCAGTTGCTTACGAGAGAATGTTACTCAATGTTTAACAGTTTACCAACCATTCATACTTGTATTTGGAAGGAAACTAACTTTTCCCACTTACTTTCCACTTTTAGAAATCAGCAGAATTCTTTACTTTTTGCTCTTCTGACACAGCCTTCAGTGAACTGCCTGATTCTGACACAGCCTTCAGTGAACTGCGTGATTCTGACACAGCCCTCAGTGAACTGCGTGATTCTGACACAGCCCTCAGTGAACTGTGTGATTCTGACACAGCCCTCAGTGAACTGTGCAATTCTGACACAGCCCTCAGTGAACTGTGTGTTTTTGACACTGCCCTCAGTGAACTGTGAGATTCTGACACCGCCCTCAGTGAACTGTGCAATTCTGACACAGCCCTCAGTTAACTTTGTGATTCTGACACAGCCCTCAGTGAACTGTGCAATTCTGACACAGCCCTCAGTGAACTGTGAGATTCTGACACAGCCCTCAGTGAACTGTGTGGTTTTGACACCGCCCTCAGTGAACTGTGAGATTCTGACACCGCCCTCAGTGAACTGTGCGATTCTGACACAGCCCTCAGTGAACTGTGCAATTCTGACACAGCCCTCAGTGAACTGTGCAATTCTGACCCAGCCCTCAGTGAACTGTGTGATTTTGACACCGCCCTCAGTGAACTGTGTGATTTTGACACCGCCCTCAGTGAACTGTGTGATTCTGACACCGCCCTCAGTGAACTGTGTGATTTTGACACCGCCCTCAGGGAACTGTGAGATTCTGACACCGCCCTCAGTGAACTGTGAGATTCTGACACAGCCCTCAGTGAACTGTGTGGTTTTGACACCGCCCTCAGTGAACTGTGAGATTCTGACACTGCCTTCAGTGAACTGTGTAATTCCACATGCATGCAAATTAGTCGGACATACGTTCGAGATCTTGGATTTGATGGCACAAAAAGTGTTGTAACAAAGATTAATGTCTTGACTAGTATCTTTGTAATTGACTTGATGAACTAAAATATACTTGGATATTATTCAAAATTAATCATGGTGAAAACTAGTGCTAGTGTGAAATGTTGACGGTTGAAATAAGTTGTGTCAATACATCCTCTAAATTGGTATTCAGAACAAATAATGGGAGGTTGGTTACCCCCTCCAAATAGTAGTTATTATCTTTTTTATATTTGATTAATTTGACTGATTTGACCTTGAAATTAGACCATTTATTTGAACAAATCTGACAGCCCTCCACAACAGCATAATCCAGGCCTCAGTTATGTATTAGTTGTTTGAAGATTTGAACATGTAACCATTGTGACTTGGAATGTGGGTCACATATTTTTTTTTATAGTAAAAAAACACGATTTTTTTCATTATTTGAGGAGAAAAAAAATAGTCTCAATGAATTTGATCTTCCTTCCAACCTAATGTCCAGAACAGAGACGTATATTGGATATGCGATGTTTTGATCATTATCTGCCTTGTATCTGGGGCGAGATATTGTGTCAAGATTATGACATAACAACAAAATATAATGTGATATTAAACTTTAGTTTGGTCTATCTGCCTGCCTCATAGCCAGGAAAGAAATTCTGTAAGATTGTCTGAAGGGTTTTGTTCACTTTGAGTTCATCTTCTTCCTGCTTCAGGTCAGTTCGACACATGGGACAGTTGTACACTTCGGCCTTGAACGACCTCGTCAGACACGGCTGAAATGCAAGAATTTATGGTGTTTTTTTTTTTTTATTACATACCGACATGTTAACAAATGTTAAATGTTGAATTTATATCCCATGCTTCAACAACAATACAAAAGTGACTGAAATATTTACTAGACCAAAATAGGTTGAAGCTCTGGTGATCATTCTGCAGTGAACAATTTGTGACGAATACTATGAAAACAATATTGCACTCTTTTGCGATATTAAATCTAAAATAACAATCATATAATCTTTCAAACAAGAGGACATTTGTTTTGCAAGTGGAGATACAGACGGACCAGGCTACAATCTTATGGTCCAGAAAATGTGTACTGATGAGAACAATAAAAAGGCAAATTTCTCGCCTGACTACAGCTTTCTTAATGTACTTGAATATCAAATTTAACTTCTGTAAATACTCAAAGCTAACCAAACTGATGGTATACTTACAGATGAAGGTAACTGGATTATTACCCTAATCCTATTGTAGCAAGCATTATCAGCTTTATAACATGTTCAGGTTAGATTGAAATTAAATACACAACCTACCTTACAGATAGTATGGTTGCAGACAGTGGTGACAGGTTTGAACACAACCTCCTGACAACAGATACAGTTAAATAGCTCCTCCACCTTCCCCAGAAACTTCTGTAACAGAATGTAGAGTCAGAAGTGGTATTAATATCATATAATATTGTGTAATGGACATTATCTTGTTTTTACCGTATTTATCCAGAAACAAGCCCATGCCTGGTAATAAGCCCACCCATATATATTGCAGTTCAGTAGAAATGCCAACAACTGCTGTTTCATTGTCCTGTAATAAACTTATCCTCTGCTTTGAGTTAGAGAGTATGTGTTGGCCCCTGGGCTTATTGCAGGATAAATACGGTAATTCATTGCAACTATGACAAAGACTGAGATACATAAGTTGTACACATCTACGGTAACATGTATCTCAAAACAAGCAAATCTGTAGAATCCATGATACCCCTCCAGTTCAAGGACAATGTTGTATTGTTATCTGTTGTCGAGATTCGTCAAGTTGATGTAGACATGAAACAAGATGTTAGATGTACCTACTTAATTTGGTCAATATTGATTGGTTACAATATGTCTGACCATGTTTAGGGCAGGTATCAAAAAGAAACCAGATTAATCAATCAGAATTGTGTAGCCTCATTAATTATATGTAAATATGCACACATCACATTGGCTAATGCACTTACCAGTAGACTTACTATTATGTATGAGGATACAAAATTTGTTTGAAACTGGACCATTTTAGGGCAATAACTGAACAGAAACTAAGATGTGACAGACAGATTGACATACCACAAGCGATAGTCTCATTTCCCCCCAAAAAAGAGCGGGAATAATAAATAAAGAAACACTACACTATTTTTAATGATTCATGATATCACCCTAGTTGTATTTATAATAATAAATCTGGAGTTAAAAAAAAAAATTGGTTGTATGTTCAAGTAAACATTATTCTTCATGAAAATAAGCAGATTTCAAATGAAGCTATTGATGGAACGCATATACACATAGATAAATATGTAGCATACTTGCCAAATCTCCCCATTTTGGACCCTAAAATTGAGCATTTTCAACCAGTGAATTTGCTAAACTATTCCTATTTTCTAAGATCCGATGATTTTACCTGAAAGAACAGCTCAAAAGATGCCATTTAAAAGTGTTACTTTTTTAGAATGCCTGTCTAGAATTCAGAGGTGCCTTGCTTCGAATATTGGTCTGGATCCATTGTATTTCACCTCATTGTAGCTGTGTAGAATTTGTTTAGACCAGGAAATAGTGCTTTTACGATAGTTCCAGGATTAGACGAGTGATGCGTCGGTGTCAGGAATACTGATGTCTGACAGAATCTAATGTACACATATCACAGGGTTATCATTTGACCTAATGTACACATATCACAGGGTTATCATTTGACCTAATGTACACATATCACAAGGTTATCATTAGACCTATATGTTATCATTTGTCATCCATTTAAACAAAGCAGTATATTATTAGGTTTCAGTCGCTGCTCACCGATACAAGTTTTGACATTTAGATTGTTATCAAAACCTGACCTTGACCGAAGCCGTCACCTTTCCCTTTGACATACCTGTCCCCCTTCCTTAGTGAGTAACATAGCATCCTCCCACAGTTTCTTGTTAATTTCGTCCTGTTTGATGAGTTTTTTCTGGGCAGGATTTATTGTGTATTTAGCCACCTTCTGTTTTTTCTCCGGCGTGCCACCTGATGAGGAGTCTAGGTAAAAAATAACATCGACATTGCTAGGTTTCACAAAACATATCTGAAAATAGATTCCTGTTTTTTTAAGAGACTTTTTAACATTTTTTCCACTGGAATATAATCTTCCTGTCATTAATGGTACAACTGTCAACTCACTGACAAAGGTCAAATACATTTAAATGGCCTAAATAAAGCTACAGGCTCAATATCTTTACCTATGACACAACAGAACCTGTAATAAGATTTTACCCTATGTGACCTTAAATACAGGTCAGTCATTTTTTTACTTGCAAAAAATTGTTGTGCTTTATCATAGGAAGATACCATCCTAACATAATGACTCTAGGCCTTTCCATTCTTCAGAAGAAGTCGTTTGAGGTTTTTGACATATTTGATCCCTGTAAACTTGATAATAAAAAAAGATCATTTTTATTAGCAAACTTTGTTGGGCCTTATCCCAAAAAGCTTTAGATTATTTAGGAGATTGAGTTACGGATGTACGATAATCTGGGTAACTCACCAGAGTCTGTTCGTTTCCTTTTCCCTTTCCCCTTCTTTCCTGCTGCACCACTTGATGTTTCCTCCTCTTCTTCTTTCTTTGCCATGGCTTCTAAATAGCCTGCTGGGTACTACAGTGACATAATTATATACACATTACAGACAGCCTGCTGGGTACTACAGTGACATACACACATTACAGACAGCCTGCTGGGTACTCCCGTGACATACACAATTATAGATAGCTTGCTGGGTACTACAGTGACACACACACATTACAGACAGCCTGCTGGGTACTACCGGGACATACACAATTATAGATAGCTTGCTGGGTACTCCAGTGACATACACACATTACAGACAGCCTGCTGGGTATTAGTGACATACACACATTACTGATAGCCTGCGGGGTACTAGTGACATACACACATTACAGACAGCCTGCTGGGTATTAGTGACATACACACATTACTGATAGCCTGCGGGGTACTAGTGACATACACACATTACAGACAGCCTGCTGGGTATTAGAGACATACACACATTACTGATAGCCTGCTGGGTACAACAGTGACATATATACACAGTACAGATAGCCTGCTGGGTACTACAGTGACATACACACATGCCTGCTGGGTACTAGTGACATACACACATTACAGACAGCGTGCTGGGTACTACCGTGACATACACAATTATAGATAGTGCACCACTTGATGTTTCCTCCTCTTCTTCTTTCTTTGCCATGGCTTCTAAATAGCCTGCTGGGTACTACAGTGACATAATTATATTCACATTACAGACAGCCTGCTGGGTACTACAGTGACTGTACGATAATCTGGGTAACTCACCAGAGTCTGTTCGTTTCCTTTTCCCTTTCCCCTTCTTTCCTGCTGCACCACTTGATGTTTCCTCCTCTTCTTCTTTCTTTGCCATGGCTTCTAAATAGCCTGCTGGGTACTACAGTGACATAATTATATACACATTAAAGACAGCCTGCTGGGTACTACAGTGACATACACACATGCCTGCTGGGTACTAGTGACATACACACATTACTGATAGCCTGCGGGGTACTAGTGACATACACACATTACAGACAGCGTGCTGGGTACTACCGTGACATACACAATTATAGATAGTGCACCACTTGATGTTTCCTCCTCTTCTTCTTTCTCTGCCATGGCTTCTAAATAGCCTGCTGGGTACTACAGTGACATAATTATACACACATTACAGACAGCCTGCTGGGTACTTCAGTGACTTACACACATTACAGACAGCCTGCTGGGTACTACCGTGACATACACCATTATAGATAGCTTGCTGGGTACTACAGTGACACACACACATTACAGACAGCCTGCTGGGTACTAACGTGACATACACAATTATAGATAGCTTGCTGGGTACTACAGCGACATACACACATTACAGATAGCCTGCTGGGTACTACAGATGACTCTAGGCCTTTCCATTCTTCAGAAGAAGTCGTTTGAGGTTTTTGACATATTTGATCCCTGTAAACTTGATAATAAAAAAAGATCATTTTTATTAGCAAACTTTGTTGGGCCTTATCCCAAAAAGCTTTAGATTATTTAGGAGATTGAGTTACGGATGTACGATAATCTGGGTAACGCACCAGAGTCTGTTCGTTTCCTTTTCCCTTTCCTCTTCTTTCCTGCTGCACCACTTGATGTTTCCTCCTCTTCTTCTTTCTTTGCCATGGCTTCTAAATAGCCTGCTGGGTACTACAGTGACATAATTATATTCACATTACAGACAGCCTGCTGGGTACTACAGTGACATTCACACATTACAGCCAGCCTGCTGGGTACTAGAGACATACACACATTACAGACAGCCTGCTGGGCACTTCAGTGACATACACACATTACAGACAGCCTGCTGGGTACTACCGTGACATACACAATTATAGATAGCTTGCTGGGTACTACAGTGACATACACACATTACAGACAGCCTGCTGGGTACTACAGTGACATATATACACATTACATCCAGCCTGCTGGGTACTAGTGACATACACACATTACAGATAGCCTGCTGGGTACTTCAGTGACATACACACATTACAGACAGCCTGCTGGGTACTACAGCGACACACACACATTACAGATAGCCTGCTGGGTACTTCAGTGACATACACACATTACAGACAGCCTGCTGGGTACTACAGTGACACACACACATTACAGATAGCTTGCTGGGTACTACAGTGACATACACACATTACAGATAGACTGCTGGGTACTACAGCGACATACACACATTACAGATATCCTGCTGGGTACTTCAGTGACATACACACATTACAGACAGCCTGCTGGGTACTACAGTGACATACACACATTACAGATAGCCTGCTGGGTACTAGTGATATACACACATTACAGATAGCCTGCTGGGTACTACAGTGACATACACACATTACAGACAGCCTGCTGGGTACTACATTGACATACACACATTACAGATAGCCTGCCGGGTACTACAGCAGTCTGTGACGTTAACTTTTTTCCACGCTAGTCATTTGGACTAGTGAACCCAGAATTTTAATAGTCCGACTATGAATTTGCTAGTCCAAATTACAGACTGGTCTTTTTTACAGCATGAAGTGTAAATTGTGATCTAAATTGGAAAATTATTAGAAATCAAAACTGACAAAATAAATCTGTGTAACTACAAAACATTTTCTTACACTCGTTGTCAAATTCTAACCAAGTTCTGTTTTTCTTCCACTCCTGCCTTAAGGACCTTATCCGATTCTTTTCATAATTTTGCTTTCGTGTTAGAGCATCTTTTTCTGTAGATGTTCACAGACAGGCTTAGCTGGATTTGAATATTTCCTCCACTCCAGCTTAACATGATTCACGTGGTTATAAACCGGAAGTAATGTTGGATAACTACTAAAATCCGAAACCCAGTCTCGCAAATCGAAATGCTTCAATTTCGAACGCTTCGACGAATAACGTATTTTACAATAGGATTAAAACTTGTGACAAGCTTTATTGTGCAAAATGTATACAATTAAGTAAACCCTTAGGCTGCTACATTGATTTCTATGTAAAGGGACGCCACTGCTGAATTAATTATTGAAATATAAATTAATTTACTTAATTTTTCAAATGCGCATAACTTGAAAAATATTTGTTATATGTGAATAAAAGTAATAAGAAAATTGTTCGTTATTGTCTCTAGTTTATATTAACGTTTTCGATTCTAAAGTTGCTTCAGTATTTACCTGTACAGGTGGTAATAAAGGTAAAACTTTTAATTACCGGATTTAAGCCCCAGAAAGATCACTTTAAAATTGTTTTTATCAGCAAATGTGAATGGAAAATGATAACAGAGATAATAAACTTCATTTATGACATAAGATGCTGTACATTTACACGGAGATTCTCAGGTAAAAAGGTAAGGTATTTCATCAAGAATTGCATGCGATTTGCTACAGGTTTCAGGTCGTCATTCAATATATTTATTGTCACAGTCGGCATATAGATATATCTTAGCTACGGTCTAGTTTATGATTAAATCATCGATAAATAGTTTGAAGAAATCAATCGGCTCAAAACGTATCAATGTCAATGTTCAATTCGGCCTCACCTGCAGACGACATGTGCGCCTCGGTCCGCCGATATTTTCATGTTTGCGTAGGGCACAAAGTTGTCCATTGGAAAGTTACATATTATGTTACACCGAAGTATTTCCACATCAACCATGTCAAACCCTTTAAACCTTTATTATCATTGTAGGTGACGCTGGAGAATAAATGTTTACCGTCACATTCATCACTTCAATCTACACGTCCGCCATTTTTATGACTTTTTTTCCGATTTGAAATTCTCTCGCACACTTTCATTATTACTAGGGTACATTGCCGGGAATATCGAAAGTAATGACAAAACAACCAATCAGAAGCCTTCTACTATACACTTTCAGGTTTGGTATAGCAACAGTCCGCTTTCACACTTCCTGTTTACTGATCAAAAACCTACAGACCGCGCACCACTATAGTGGTGCGTAGCACTGACGGCCCGACTTTTCGAAACGACTATTGTGGTGCGTAGCAGCTAAAGGGTTTAAAAAATAATATTTCCATTATTTTGGAGGAAAATTGCCACTAGTCCAGTCGGACTAGTTAAATATTTTCAATACTAGTCCAGACTTAAATTTACTAGTCGTGGGCATCGGACTAGTGCCTAACGTGGCAGACTGCTACAGTTACATACACACATTACAGACAGCCTGCTGGGTACTACTGTGACATACACACATTACAGATAGCCTGCTGGGTACTACAGTGATACACACATTACAGACAGCCTGCTGGGTACTAGTGACATACACACATTACAATAGTATTTACATGAAGCAAGGTGTGTTGGGCCAGCATCACAGGAATTCCATTCAATTTTAAAAACCTCCATAAAGACGTAGTTTAAAAACAGATTGTTTTAATGTCAACAAAAGTTATTCAATGACTGCATGTACCTAAAAGGCATATTTGTTGGGGTTATTTCCAATCAATAAAATTGTAACAAGAGGCCCAATGGGCCTGCATCGCTCACCTGTTTGACATACACACATTACAGACAGCCTGCTGGGTACTACAGTGATGCACACATTACAGACAGCCTGCTGGGTACTAGTGACATACACACATTACAATAGTATTTACATGAAGCAAGGTGTGGTGGGCCAGCATCACAGGAATTCAATTCAATTTTAAAAACCTCCATAAAGACGTAGTTTAAAAACAAATTGTTTTAATGTCACCAAAAGTTATTCAATGACTGCATGTACCTAAAACGCATATTTGTTGGGGTTATTTCCAATCAATAAAACTGTAACAAGAGGCCCAATGGGCCTGCATCGCTCAGCTGTTATTAATCTAACACTTGTAATCTTAAGATTTCATAAGAACCTATTAAAAGATTTAAACATATGACGCCTCTGACCTTGATTGTCGAACAAGGACATTAGGATGAAAGTGGATCAAGGTCATTCATTTGAACTAACATGGTAATCCTTCATCCCAGCATGCTACAGGCCCCATATCAGTACCCTGGGCAATTTGGTTATTGAGAAGAAGTTGTTTAAAAATTTTATGACATTTGATCTCTGTGACCTTGGAAGTTGGTCAAGGTCATTTATTTGAACAAACTTTGTAGCCCTTTATCTCACCATGCTACTGGCCAAATATCATCTCCCTGGGCATTTTTGTTATTGAGTCAACAAAAGTTATTCAATGACTGCATGTACCTAAAATGCATATTTGTTGGTGTTATTTCCAATCAATAAAATTGTAACAAGAGGCCCAATGGGCCTGCATCGCTCAGCTGTTATTAATCTAACACTTGTAATCTTAAGATTTCATAAGAACCTATTAAAAGATTTAAACATATGACGCCTCTGACCTTGATTGTCGAACAAGGACATTAGGTTGAAAGTGGATCAAGGTCATTCATTTGAACTAACTTGGTAATCCTTCATCCCAGTATGCTACAGGCTGAATTTCAGTACCCTGGCCCTTCTGCTTATTCAAAAGAAGTCGCTTGAAGATTTTACGACATTTGACCCCTGTGACCTTGAATATGGGTGAAGGTCATTTATTTGAACAAACTTTGTGGCCATTCATCTCAGCATGCTACTGGCTAAATATCATCACCCTGAGCATTTTGGTTATTCAGAAGAAGTTGTTTAAAGGTTTTTTAATACAATTGACCCCTGTGACCTTGAATATGGGTAAAGGTCATTCATTTGAACAAACTTTGTAGCACTTCATCTCAGCATGCTACTGGCTAAATATCATCACCCTGAGCATTTTGGTTATTCAGAAGAAGTTGTTTAAAGGTTTTTTAATACAATTGACCCCTGTGACCTTGAATATGGGTAAAGGTCATTCATTTGAACAAACTTTGTAGCCCTTCATCTCAGCTTGCTACTGGCCAAATATCATCACCCTGGGCAGTTTGGTTATTCAGTAGAAGTTGTTTAAAGTGTTAAACATATTTGACCCCTGTGACCTTGAATATGGGTGAAGGTCATTAATTTGAACAACCTTTGCAGCCCTTCATCTCAGCTAGCTACTGGCCAAATATCATCACCCAGGGCATTTTAGTTATTCAGAAGAAGTTGTTTAAAGGTTTTTTAATACAATTGACCCCTGTGACCTTGAATATGGGTAAAGGTCATTCGTTTGAACAAACTTTGTAGCCCTTCATCCAAGTTTGCTTCTGGCCAAATATTGACAAACTAGGCCTTTCGGTTATTAAGAAGAAGTCGTTTAAAGTAAAATATTGACGCCGGACGCCGGCCGGCCGGCCCGCCGGACGACGGACGCCGCGCCCCGGCAAAAGCTCACTTGGCACTTCGTGCCAGGTGAGCTAATAAAAACTTTCAAAATCACACCCGGACATATTTCAGATTTTAATGCATAAGCAGTAGTCATTTTCTTCACCAAAGGGGTTGAATGGTAGAGCTTTGCACAAACACCTCATATGAAATTCATTGTATAACATGATCATTTAATGTTTGTAAAACAGATTTTTTTTCTCCTCTGATAAATGAAAAATCCCATCTACATACCAAACTTCATGAAAGTGTATTCAGTGTTTTCTGAAAACACAAATACTTTTTCTCTTGGCTTAATGTTCAGTCAAATATGAGTGTCTTCCAAGATTTGCACAATTCCCAATCAAAACACAGGAAACAGTCCTACCTGCATTTCAAGGCCAAGTTCTTCAATACGTTTCTTGCCAGCTTTGGTCCAGGGAGCTGGTGTGGGGTCATCCCTCTTGAACAAGTATCTCCAAACGAGGAAACCAGACTTTCCCTTCTCTGGCCAGTATTTGGAAATCTAGGGAAACCAGATATATTACGCATGACTTAATTTAATACAGTTGTTATCCTGTAGCCCGAAAACTTCAACACAAAATTCAAGAAAATTTTAAGGATTTTGTGTAGACACATTTTCTATTGACCTTAAAAATTCTACCAAGAATGAAATATTCAAAATGCTTCCATTTAATGTAAACTTGTATTTCTTCTTTTTCTGCTGCATTATTCATCCTATTTCCCCCCAGATTTTCCCATCTCAAGCAGCTTGTTAATAAAACAAATGTTTGGATTATGTTGGTCACTGTACTATTGGTAACATTATGTTCTGCTAGTCAGTAATCACCTAGACACTTGAATGGCCTGGGTGACCATAGCTTTCTAACACTGTACTGCCCAGTTCAGACTGAACCTCATCCCACCAGGCAATATAATGACCACGGACAAGCTGCTGATAATTCATACCTTGTAGATGCCATCGTAACGGTTACCCTCCTCTGGGGCGTATTTTGAGTGTTTCCTTCCCTTACAATTGCGCACTACACGCACTGGCTTCCCCTTCTTCCATTCTTCTGAGCAGGCGCCTTTCTTGTTATCTATCGTGGCATTGCAGTTCTTGGCCAGAGCTCTAAAACAAGACAGGGATAGCTATCTGCTAGAGCTCTACACAGACATAATCCAACACTACTGGTAAACATAGACATACCAGCGCAGTACAGGTACAAGTAATACACTGGAGTGTCCTTTCATTGGTATCTGTAAAATAAGCCATTGTGGCAGCCATGTCAACTCCTTGGATCTCTTAGAATGAGAAAGACTGAGGAACGTGCTCTTTCTTCTAGACATGACAACATTTAAACCCTAACACCTTGGAATCATGCACTTAGGACAAGGCAAATTATTATCGGCAATCCAGTCCCCATCCTCCAGAAAAAACTTTTCAAAAATAGATAAAGGGCCGTCACTCTGCATATCCCAAGACATTAAACCTGATTTCAGGAAGAGACATCCATCTCAAATAGGTAGTCACATACAAACTTGTCAATTGTAGGTAACAGAGTAGCTATTATGAAACTTTTGTATGCAGTGGCTCCCAAGACCCAATTTAATTCCATCCCTAGAGGAATTACATACAAAACTTGGCGACTGCCGCTGACATAAGTATACAGGTGATATGCCCTGGACAAAGTGACAGGGTGAACAAAGGGCCATAACTGTGTTAATAGCGCGAATTGAGATTCGATTCTGTCATCCCAAGATGTGCTCCCATGCAGAATTTAGCAATTGTATGTGACAAGAGTATATAAAATACAAGGGTGTACGTTATTCTTCACTGGTAGTACCAGGGTCTTTCGAGTCCTTCCACAAAGCATTTTTTGCTTTTAATTTTACTACCATAGTGTTATGAATCCAAACATTTCAGTTATACAGCTGGTGGCGGTGACGTTTTTTGACAAATTTCACCACTGTGACTTTGAAAGTAGGTCAAGGTTATTTGATTTTGTAAACTTTCTTGGGATTCATCTCAGGAAGCTGCTAACCTAATATCATGACTCTAGGACTTTTGGTTCTTCAGATGAAGTTGTTTGAAACATTTGACACCTGTGACATGGAAACATTCCACAAAGTTGGCAGACGGACAGATTACCGATGCCTTGCTACAGCACAAGCTCATCACTTGCCTTTGAAACAGGCGAGCTAAAAAGGACCATTTTTATCACTATGATAAGAAAACAGGACGTCATGTATTTGTGTCTGGTAACTAGAACCCTCAACTTGTCCATATTTCAAATTCAATACAAAAGTCATATAGCATCATAAGTTTGGTGGTGTAAATACCTACTTATTCGTACGTGTCAGAACCTGATCACATGACTGTTCTGCAGTACGCTTGTTTCCTGACAGATCACGACCTCCACTTCCTGTGTATGTGAATTGTTCTCCATCATCCTGTGATGCAAAAATGATAATATTAATTATCTTGATAAAACAAGTCAATATATTGTAAGGCAATCCATAGTCCCCCACAGGCATTGATTTCTTTAATTACTGAGCTGTTCACATATCTCAGAATGTAGTGATAGTTACAAGATGGCTGCTTTTAAGCAATTCTGAGGAGTACTTTTAACAGCAAACACCAAAGTCAGTGTCTATATACACAGTTCTAGTACCGGTTCTCTCATGTATGCTTTTAGAAACAACTTGCCCATTTTCTTTATAACATTGATCTGTTGAAACAAAATACAGTTGGCCATGGTATTGTCATCCCTGAATTCTTTCATCTAAGATTCAAATATTGTTGGTTCATTATTGAAGAAACATGCACTTCCCCATCATTGGAGCTTGTCAGATGCCCCCCCTAACCACAATGTGTTAAGATAAAATGCGTCTCATTCAAAAAATCTCACTCGGAACTCTCAGACTTGTTCTTATTACTACAATAACAGTCAGCAGGAGTTGCCACCGTGCTGTCACTAAATACGACAATAATAGGGCAAACACAATGACACTCTAAAATACTTCTTTCAAGTTCCAAAAAACATCATTTTGTTTAATATACATAATTGTGATTTTTTTTCTTTTTTTCCCCTTTTTAATTTTGTAGATCTATCAGTATTCAAGGCTTTTCAAGGCCCAAAGTGAAATTGAAAGCATTTCCAGGCCAAACTCTAAATTAAGACTTTTTTCACGCCTGTGCGATCCCTGTACATGCATACTAATTCTGATTACTTAAGGTGAAACAGTATTGGAAATATGCCCCAGACAAACTTTTCTAAAGGTTGGGGTCAAAGGTCAACCAAAGGTCACGGTAACCTTCTTTCTACATACCAAATCAGGTTACTCCTGGTAAATTAGTACAGAAGATATGCCCGGAACAAACTCAACTGACAGATGAACGGAGTGTAAACCTGTAGTCCCCACTGGGAACAAGTGGGGGACTGCCAAAGACATGAATAATCCAGTCAACTCAAGCCTTTGCAGAAAGTGAAAGAGCTATTCCATCTGGAGTCAGGTAGGTAATTAAAAGCAATCCCATCACATACAAATTTTACCTTTATTACATATTTAAACAATGAAAGTGTTCCCATATTTAGGAAATCTGCTCCATTTGATCATAAAACATGCTAATTAGTATGTGGTCCTTTCTCATTTGTATGCCTTCTTTACTTTATAACCTCATAAATAGAACAAATTTCACTAACATATATATACAATCAAAGTGCCCATGGCACTGGAGGATTGGCGGCATGAGTGTTTGTGTTTTTCTACAGATTTAATCCTGAATGGGCAGGCTTCTATACATTCATGTTGAATGAAATAAAACAAAACTTGGTCCGTCTTACTCCTGTCAAAAAAGCAACAGTAGTTTGTGTTAATCTACATTTTACTTTATGACTACATAATTTTTAAATACAGATTAAGTCACACTTGTTCAAATGAAGGCAAACAACCAAGCATTCATGTATTCTGCTTTCGGTTTAAAAATCATAAATCAGTAGCCAAATTGATTTATTTTAAAAGTAGATTTGGTTTGCCTTTTAAAGTCCAAACATTCAATATCAAATAGTTATTTTGAGATGCAATACTGTTTAACGTGATGTTTGACAATAGTTAGATGAGTATTTGGTTAACCGAGTTCAAGTGCTACATGTATTATACTTTATGTTTGTTAAGTGTAACTTGGAAGAAAAATATCTACTATTAAACTGGCAATACTCATGGGAGCAAATCTGTTTTCATTTATCAGACTGTGAAAGATAAAATGTTTTAATTTTAGAAACATAGACTGTGAAAGATAAAATGTTTTAATTTTAGAAACATAAAACACATTTCAATGAAGTTAAATCTAAAAATTTAACAAAATATTCCAATAAAAAGTGGCCTTAGTGAAGCATTATTTTTTCAACTATTTACCTCAAGATCAAAAACACTACTTACATCTATAAAATGTCACTCAATACTTTCCCCGAAATAATGAACCCTTTGAAAGAAAACGGTAGATTATCGCATACAATTGCGTAAATCGTCATGTGCCGTTGAGGATATGCACTTAATTGAAGAGACCGCCAGATGTTCTTAACAATTTACTGTTCTAAAAACTGCATAACTTAAATGCTTGATAACGTTTCTTTTTTTACTTTCCATCTGAAGACATCAAATCCATGAAAATCAAGTGATCGTGATAACATCTAGGCTTCTAGGCCAAAGGCCGAAAATTGGCACTTCCACATGGTGTTTCAAAAGCGATTTCAACTCAACTACAACAAAATACAGGCGGTCTCTTGTGAGACCTATTTAAGATTTGTGCGTTCAGAACTCATCTTCATCTTAAACCTGTCCATAACTATTATGTATACTTAAGGACTCCATAATTTTAAATTTATTTCAAACACTTGAAGACTTCATCACAGGTGAAGATCCATAAAATTCTGCCTCACATTGCGAGATTTGTAAAAAGAATTTTGAGTTATTATTTAAGTGCTTGTTGTTATACAGCAGGGTTAAAAAGCGTACCTTGTCATCTTCATAGCCTCCGGACAGCACAATAGAAAATGCCCCGGCATCCTCGCGTCCATGGATACCAGCCACATGTGGCCTGTGTACTCCATCCTCGCTCACCTAATAAACACAACAAGAAGCCAAAGGGCATTAACAGTCATCCGGAATGTGAATATAGTTATCTTTTCATTGTGGGAGAATTATGTCAAAATACTATTGTATACAAAGTACATTGCCTGTCTTGTCAGGAACAAAAAATAAGTAAAATCGTTAAAGCAATGAGAATTTTTTTTTTCATTTTCTATTAATATATTTAGTAAAGTAGGCCTACTATCAAGGCTAAATGGTGAAATCCAGGGGCATGGAATTCTTATTTTTTTTCTTCAAAAATCATACAGGCCTCAATAGTCATGTTAAACATTTATTTGCTAGTGCTTCGGTTTCCATACCAAAGATGACAAGAAGCAACAGGGCTACAATTTTCATACCATGTAACCACCATCCCATCACAATTATTCTAACACCAAGTCATTAATTAATGTTTTTCTACTAAAAATTAACAAAATATTTTCCAAATTAGTAATCCCCAATTATAGGCTAGAGTAAAACTTAACCTCTGGTGGAAAGGAGTTCCTGAGTTGTACCAGACATTTTTGAGACAAAAGGTTGGTGGGTCCAGCCCAACGTCAAGTTTAATTCCTAGCTTACATGACGATGGTGTTCATCTTTCTTTGGATAATATCCTGAAAGTCTTTTATTATGAAAAGTTCTTTTTGCACAACCAATAAGAGTTTCTGTGACGCCGGTTTCGATGACTAGTACATTTATATTATAAATTATATATATGGTATGTACACCGTCACCTTCATCAGACAAATGACCAGTGAAGCGTATGCACACAAAGGTGTAAAATGTATACCAGTTGTCCACAAAATCGATGTTGATTCGGCTACATATACGCTGTTAAACGTATGTACAATAGTTGTAATATATGTACCGAAATGACTCAATTCAGCCACGCTCGATTTTGTGGACAAGTACTCGTTCACAACATTTTACACCTTTGTGTGCGTACCCTTCACTGGTCATTTAAGAAAATGTTGAGAAATCGCATGATAGTCATAATAGTGGTGCTCACTTATGGCACAAGTTCGAACAGACTTTATTTGATTTTTACCTAAACTTTAAATTTCAATGTCTAAATTTCGATATTTACGTGAAATCTGAACATCTATATTTCATAAATTATGTCTAAATGAACAAACTGAATTACCTGAACCCGAAACTTCCACAAGGTGCCGACCTCTATACCAGGAATTGAGCCGAAGTGGTTTGCCGGAACAACTGTACAAACATTCTGACGACCAACACAAGCCATTCCCTGAAATAGTGAGGTTGTAAGTTGTTATAGATCTACATTTTTTGAAGTTCTGTACATGTATAGAGTATATATTAAACTAACACTTTACAGAATTACTGGTTTGTAGTATTTGAACCATTAACATTTTTCAACATTTTCGCAAATAAAAAATACAGGCCATAATTTCTGAATGTTTCTATTTGTGGCAGGTTTTAATTGTACATAGGATTGCAGTCGCCTTCTAGCTTCGAGCTAGAGGGAATTTCCCTTAAGCTCAGTGGTAGAGCATCCGACTAGGAACCTGGAGATCGAGGGTTCGATCCCCAGTGGAAGCACACTATTCTCTTTCCTGTTACAAATGGTTTCCTTGGCCCTCCCTGTGGCGACAGGGAGTTAGAACCTGGTTTGTGGTGTTCGAGGGCAAACACGATTAAAAAGGGGGGAGTAGTGTGGCCGGTTTTAATTGTACATAGGATTAAGGTTGCCTTTTAGCTTCAAGCTAAAGGGAATTTTCCTTTCCCTTTAGCTCAGTGGTAGAGCGTCCGACAAGGAACCTGGAGATTGAGGGTTCGATTCCCGGTGGAAGCACACTATTCTCTTTCCTGTTACATATTTATGAGGTAAACTCAATATTTACCCATACTTTTTACCTCTGAAATCAGCATTATTGCCTACATCTTCCCTTTTGCTCAAATAAGACTCATTTCATAGTCACTGATTAATATGGCATTTATTCACTATCATTTTGTCAAAATAGGATCAATTGTAAATGGTTATTTTTTTACATTTTTAGTTTTGCCACATGGTTTCTCCCACTTGAATGGCTGCCAAGTATGCTCATGCCAAAAACCTTCCTTATTTATCTTTTACCTGTGATGTTGACATACCGATGACCTACCAATTTGCAAATTGATTGAAAACAAGTACTAATTGTAATGGGGGACCATTACAGAAGTCCCCCAAACTGCCCCCAGAGTCACAAAGATACATCAGAAAAGGATCACAATGGCATAAAACACCTTCATACTAAATTTGAGTGAAATCAACAATATCTGAATTTTGACCAATCTGAAGCCTCCATGTTGTTGATATGGCAACAAAACCTATGAAATTGAATTTGCAGTCCCCTAATATCCCTTAAACCAATTTTAATAAGCCCTATGGGCATTGAGAAGTTGTTAAAAGATAGATATAAAGGTCATTTATTAGAACAAACTTGGTGCGCCCTTCATCTCCAGCTTACTACTGGCCAGCTGTCATCACCCTGGGCTATCTGGGTAGAGATGGTCAGGTGAGCTAAACACATAAACCTATACAAAATCTGGTGACTGCAAGGGGATACAATATACGAGATATGCACCAGACAAGGTGACCTATGGACAGACTGAAACTATTCCCCTTTGACTAACAGGTGAGGGAGTGAACTTTAATTATCTTACCCTGGACAGGTGCTTCCACTCTTTCACCCTTGTGAGATATCCCTATCTCACCCTAGGATTGAGACAGGGGGATTCCCCTATTCATAACAATGGTATGATGCCACACATGATAAAGGGGAATCTCACGATTTCCTTGGGGGCGAGGGATTCTATTCTTCCTACTATAACCTTACCCTGCCCCAGTCACGACTCGTGGAGTTTGTCGACGATGCCATCCTTGATTTCTTTTTACTTTCTTTTAACTTCTCGCCTGCTTTCACAATCGCGTCACTATCTGTCTTACAATCTGGACAGTACCTGTAACATAATCACTGTGTAATAACAAACGTAGTCAATGGGTTTAAAAATGTACAAAACCCTGCTAACTCAAACTTGTGGGGAAAAGATCAATAGTCCGAGATTTGTCCGACTTTGTCTCGTTTTGATCAGGTGGGATGGCAGACAGCACTGCAAATACCACGGACAGTAGATGACAGAAGTAAAAAAAAACGTTTAATTAAGATGACAACATTTAATAAGATATAAAATTGCTCAACAATGAAAACATATAGCCATTGGTATTAAGAAAGGAGTAAAACTAGAAAANAAGACATAAATGCCCCCGCTGCCATGTGAAATTAGTTTCAGTGTTCTATAAAAAGTTACAACCACTTTGATTTTGATACCCTGAAACATGCACACACACAAGGTACTACACTTAAAGTTGATTTTAATATTCATATGTTTTTTTTTGTATGTTGTTACCATCTCCATAACATATTGAATGAAGTTGCTAAGTGTTTAAATTGAATCAGTAGATGATTTCTATATATAGCAACAGTGACGTTGGCCTTGACCTTGGAACCCTGAAACACAACAATGTCCGAAGTATACTCATACTTGACCTTTGCATAAAGTTTGACCAAAATCCATGACAGAATGAAGTTGCTAAGTGTTTAAGTTGAATCAGTTGATGATTTTCTATATATAGCAAGTGTGACCTTGGCCTTGACCTTGGATCCCTGAAATACAATGATGTCCGAAGTATAATCATACTTGACCTTTGTATAAAGTTTGACCAAAATCTGTCAAAGAATGAAGTTGCTAAGTGTTTACATTGAATTGGGACGGACATGGGTAACACTATATGCCCCCCCCCCCGCCCCCATTTTATGTTGGGGGCATAATTAAGAAGTTGTATATGAATTAACTTGTCGTTACCGGTAGACATATAGTCTAGATCTGCCATACTGTATTCGGCTAGGTTAATTTTACAAAATATCAAAAAGAGTGTAACTCTTTGATCATTTTGAATTGAAGAAAATTTTGAATCCTCTAATACTATTGATTGAAAATGAAATTAACAATCAAGACAATTTCAAGTTTGAATATCTTTGAAAATAGTAGAGAATCTGTTATGTGATTTTTTGCTTAATACTTGCCATGCCGGCATATGGTTTTACACACCCAGTGAATTAACATTTCTGCTACAACATCAATGTCAAACATTGTCAGGAAATCATAAATATGCCCACAACATGACAAAGCAGCCACAACGGGGTAACAAAATCAAAATCTGTTGGTAAGAAATGAAGCCAGGGAGTCATGAAAATATATTGGGGCAAAACAGACACGGATAACACTAGTCATACATGTCCTTCCTATATAATGGCAGGGGATTAAAAAATTAAAAAAATCAGTATAACTTCCATCCTCTAATTAGGAAAAAATGCTTGTAGGGTCATATTTATATGATATTGATGTTATTATTTATCATTATCTGTATCATTATATAAAATATTTCACATAAAGAAAACCACTCGCATATCAACTAACTGAAGCTATATTCTGCTTATTTTTATGTTTGGAGTTTCCTCATCCCTCTTTTGGACTAGCCCTGTAAAAACACGTACCACTCATCATCCTCAGGAATGCTGTCGAGTGCAGGATTCATACACTGGAGATGGTAGGCCTGGTCACACTCATCACACAGAATCTGTTTGTCGGGGTCATTCTTACCACCACACACACAACATGCACAGTGTTTACACTTCCTCCGTGGGTTGTCCATACAGTGACTGCACTCTGGCTTGTTCTGACCTACAAGTAGAACACTACATATTATGGAACTCTTCTTGTGCTGAAGTTCAATGTATGCACATCATTAGCAGCCATACTTTAACACAGTGCGAGTATAACCACGGCTAATAATTTGTGAACCGCTTTGAGACGACCTACGAACTAGATTGTGATAAAGTGGTATATAAGAACCTCAAATTATTATTATTATTCGTTATTACTAAAACACAATACAAGTTAAAGTAACTTAGAAATTTGTATAAATGATAAAATATAAACCAAGAATAGTAACTGTATATATATATATATATAATTGAACATGTACAAACTAAGTAATAACTACAACAAACCACATTGCATGGTACCCATAAAATAATTGTGGCTGGAACGGCAGACTTATAGTCTTATACCTCCTACCTGCACCAAGAACTGTATAATGCATTTGACAGAACACAACAGACAGAAATGTATGCTAGACAGGTGATTTGACAGTAACAGACAGAAACTTGTGTCTGACGGCGACAGACAGAAACTTACGTTTGACAGCAACAGACAGAAACTTACGTTTGACAGCAACAGACAGAAACTTACATTTGACAGCGACAGACAGGAAACTTATGTTTGACAGCAACAGACAGAAACTTACTTTTGACAGCAACAGACAGAAACTTACGTTTGGCAGCGACAGACAGAAACTTACATTTGACAGCAACAGACAGAAACTTACATTTGACAGCGACAGACAGGAAACTTATGTTTGACAGCGACATACAGAAACTTACTTTTGACAGCAACAGACAGAAACTTGCGTTTGGCAGCGACAGACAGAAACTTACATTTGACAGCGACAGACAGAAACTTACGTTTGACAGCAACAGACAGAAACTTACATTTGACAGCGGCAGACAGGAAACTTATGTTTGACAGCGACAGACAGAAACTTACGTTTAACAGCAACAGACAGAAACTCACGTTTGACAGCGACAGACAGAAACTTACGTTTGACAGCGACAGATAGAAACTAAAGTTTGACAGTGACAGACAGGAAACTTATGTTTGACAGCGACAGACAGAAACTTACATTCAACAGCGACAGACAGAAACTTACGTTTAACAGCGACAGACAGAAACTTATGTTTGACAGCGACAGACAGAAACTTACGTTTGACAGGTGATTGTGACGGATCTTTAGCAACATCTTCAACGTTCAGTTGTGTACCAGCTATTTCAATTCCAAATATTTCATTTAAAAACAGAATGTCACAGTCATCAAGGGGCATCAGGTCCGGTCTAGATCGACAAGAAAACAAATTAATCACCCTACCATACTTCTGTATTAAATATACAAGCTCATATAGCTTTTCTGAGATTGCAAGGTGGTTCTTGAGAGAATGTCTGTTTTGAAAAAAATTACAACAACAAGACATTCATTAAAAATATTGCACAGGTCAAAAGACATTTGCATATTATTCAGACCATTCTGTTCTTATTCTCAAAAATTCACCATGTGAAGAAATCTGTTTCCACATTGCACTTTCTTGAACTCACCCAATGAAAACTGTTGCTAAAAGTTTTTTGATTGTTCTTGTATCCTGTTTCTTAGTAACTATTGCATCATACCAAAAGCCACGCTGGTCAGGATCATCTACATTGTAATTGATCATGACCTTTTGTCCTTCTTTAATCTCTGAAAGTTTGAAAACTGTCTTTGCACGGGGACGGATTCTTTCACATGCAAGTTCTTCTGCATCTGTGTCTTCATATCTAGTAAAGCAGAAACCTTGTTAGTAGCAATCATGATCATTATATAATACTTTCACTGCAATCAATAACACAGGGTTTTGAAATTAAAACAAAACGAATGCAGAGTTTTTCAATTTGATGACAACATATTACTCACTTGTAATTTTCTTTCACCCATCTTTTCATATAATATTTAACTTTCCATTACTTTGCAGGGCTTTAACGATTCACCTAAATCATGATTTGATTTAACTCTTGATTATAATCATTTAATTTCCAGTATCCTCATTAAAAGCCTTCTATTCATCAACTTGGGTTATTTTTTCAGATTACAAATCGGTCAGCATAACAGCACGTGAACATACCACCTTTACAAATATAAACTTCATTTATTCAGGGTTCGAACTTAAGCTCGCATACTCGCGAAAAGCAAGTGCAAATTGCAAACTGCGAGTAGAGATTTCAGACACCAGCATTTTTTTGCGAGTGAAAATTTCGGGCTGAATAATCCTCATTTCTAATGGTCGGTCTTTACAAATTCTTTCTTTGACAACTCGCGGTTATTTAAGCGCATTCTTGTCATTCGCCGAATGAATGATTCAGCTTTTGTCATTAACGGAAGTTTACAATCGATACATGTCCCGTGCGCATGTCCGTTAGGAAGTACCTGCACAAATAATGATGACGTTTACCGCATGCATGATGTTTTTCGGTAATCTATTTTTAGTTACTATTTATAGCGCAAATACGATAGGCTTGACTAGTCACGTGGTTGTATTGGGGTTTCCCAAGGTTAAATTTCACAGCTCACTGCACCGGCAAAATAACAAATGGACAAGTTGCTGATGTTGCCCTTAGAGAGTATGACCCAAAACCTGCTGTAACAAGATGGTGGTTGTCGGGACAAAGACAGAAAAGACCAAATACTCTACCATATGGAGCAAGAAACTAAGATGCAGTTTTTATGCTATATCTTAGAATAGCCTGAGCAGGCCAGCTTCCTTTCACAGCAAGGTTTGCGTCATGTATACATCCCAATGACCATAATTTAAAATGTCAGTTAATACTGTGTTGTTTTAGAATTTAATTCTAAGTTAACATGTCTAATAAAGTTGGAAAAATGCAAATTGCAAGTTGTTTTCTCATTTAGCAAGTAAGAAAAAATACCACTTGCGAAAAAATGCAAGTAGAAAATCTGGTTAAATTCGAACCCTGTTATTTACAATAATTATGAAACAAGCTGTTGTTTCAACTTATATTAATCACTCTTGTTGGCCTGGATGCAAGTGTGCTTAACGTGGGACGAAATTGGAGTCCCTGTAGAAAACCCATGCGGTCGGGCAGGTGACCCCATAAACCTTTTCACGTCCAATAGGGAATTCAACCCCAGCCGCCTTGGTGAAAGGCAAGTGTGCTATCTCATGCGCCACCAGACCACCTGTTAACTATCATGACTTGACATTTGTAATAAAAAATTACTAATCAATACACAAATTGAACCAAATAAATCAAAGAGTAATTTGATCTGTGATGAATCATTACACCACTATTAATTTGGGAATTTTAGGAACATCTGGGAACATCTCAGTATATGTCATCAGCATTGCCAATTGTTTACTACACTTACCCTTCAAAAACAACATGGTAAATAAAACCATCGTTTAAATTGTCAATTTCCTCAAAGTTTTTCTCCGTTTTCACTTTGTCTATTATCTCACTACCGCCATCAATCTCCATGGAATTGGCACCACTGTCAGTGTCTTTGTTGTCCTGACTACTGCCTGTTGTAGCACTAGATTCTGTCAGTTTTCCACTCAGTGGTTTATCATTATTGTTAGGTTCAGCTCCACTTTGTGGATCTTCATTATTGTTAGGTTCAGCTACTCTTTCTGCCTTTTTCCCAGTGTCTACCACAACTTTAACAATTTTAGCCTCAAACCAAGCCCCTACAGAAATGTCTCTTGCATCAATGATGTCTCCAATCTGAAAATAAACACACCAATTATAGACTTTTCTTATATTGCAGACCTATATATCATAAAGCCAACTTAACAAAAGATGTTGGAGAGCAGCATAGCACACCTATAAGTTATATAATTATGTTGTAAGATAGCCACCTTAAAAATGAAACAGTAAGTTGACAATATTCATAGATTCAGATAATTGTTATTCAAAAACCCATTATTTAAGGCATGTCATAAAACATGTGTCGAACTGATTACTTGTCCTGTAATATCAGCAAATGTATTTTATAATGAGATGCACACTGATAAGTCCATAACATTATATTAACTGTGTCAAAAACAAAATAATTAGACAGTAGATGTGCCCATATAACTGCCAATTTGAAGTACTGGTATACTGCATCAGATTTCAAATTCTGTTGAAATGAAACTTTCTATCTTATCCAACATTGAAATACTGTGTATGTGACACCACACACAGATTTATATCTTATTCTGTATAATGTGATGTCACACACAGATTTATATCTCATTTTGTTAAACGTGATGTCACACAGATTTATATCTTATTCTGTATAATGTGATGTCACATAGATTTAAATCTCATTCTGTAAAATGTGATGTCACACACAGATATCAATATTAAGCTATAAAACATGATACCACACAGATTTATATCTCATTCTGTAAAATGTGACACGACACAAAAATGCCAGGCAGCCAAAACAGACAGAACATATTATATAGTACTCCGGTTTATGCCTCCTACACCAAGACCACATTAGCTTTAAACAGTCCAACTGATCAATATTAGGATGGATAAACCGTTCATTCCTCTGCACCGCGGTAGTCATTCTATGCTAAATAACCTATAAAACTTCACACCTTGTAAGTAGACTCTCACCTTGTAAGCTTGTAAGTAGACTCTCACCTTGTAAGTAGACTCTCACCTTGTAAGCAGACTCTCACCTAGTAAGTAGACTCTCACCTTGTAAGCTTGTAAGTAGACTCTCACCTTGTAAGTAGACTTTAAATCTTCTCCAGTTTCTTCACTTGATGTTGTAGCAACAACTGTCTCTGGTGTCACAGGCTATAATGACAATGATGCAATGTACATGTTATCAACGGAAAACAATTTAACTTCATACTTCAACTTCCGAGAATTCAGATGGACATTTTGCTACTTTAAAAAAGATATACATTTTCTGGAAAACTAAATGCAGGGGTTAGGAAAAAAGCTGGTGTGCCATTCAAAATTGAAAGGTCCTATAACATTTCAGAAAATTTCTTACAGATTAACATTGTACAAGATATACAGTCCTTTGGAAAAGTTGAGAATCTGAATAATGATGTTTTCAATGGACTACGTATTTTGATCTCAATACTTTTCTTGGTTTTCTTAAGCTTTTTGGTCTTAACTTTGTTAATGTTTTTCTCAATTGTAAATGGAATCAAATGTTATTACCACAACACATATTTTTAACACTTAACATTCCTTTATCTACATAAAAGATAATTTTCTCCTGGACCTTCTCACACTGAAGACATTGGATAAACAGGCAATGCCAGGTGCTTATAATTGCTAATAGCAACTCCTTTATAGTATACTAATGACTTTCAAACCAAAGCAAGTCATTGTGTGCATCAATCCAATATTTTTTTAAAAACTAGTTTTCAAAGTTTGAAATATACATATATATGCAAGTATTTGTGTTAGTTTCATGACGAGAATGAAAGCATGCCCAAAGGGATCTTTCAAATACTATAGTTTTTAACTCAATAACTGAAATGTATCGTGAACTTTAATGTATAGTACATCGTTGAACTAACTACAGCTGACTGAACCAATATAAACTAGGTCAAGTTTTCCACTGAATTTTAGATTTGGGGGTATATCTGATCAATTTTCAAGATTCTCTACCCGAAAGTCCTTAGTTCCATAAATAAATTATTTCTTAAAAATTGAGGGTACAACAGAGTGTTTGGGAGTAAATTTAAACCCTGATTTGAGGGTTTCTGCATCATCAATATCCAGGGGCAACGCTCACTTTCGGTTTCTGCACCCCAGGAATATATAATCATAGAGAAATTGAAGGCTCAAAGATAGCTGTTTGATTGGTCTCGGGTAAAAAAAACCTGACCAATCACCAGGCTGATACCCGTCTTTTGAAGAATACAGAGGAGTGACACCAGACTTCAAAGCCAGTCAATCTTTACTGTTATGCTGCCGTGACATTCTTTTGATGTACATCAAAGGATTGAACTAGTCTTCTTGTTTCATCAACAAGGTAAGGTGACTCTTACAGATCTTTCAATTTTGCTGTGACATATCCCAGGGGTGCAGAGAACATACTGTAACTTAGTGAGAGTATACGTAGTATATGAAGTATGGAGGATGGGGTTTCTAGTACCTAACACTGATAATGCTGCAATCAAACATCCTATTTCACAAAAATTGTTAGCCAAATGATTAACAACCTTTACATCTTTTTGTCACAAGCTGTACCACTTAAAGAGGGAAACTATATTATATAAAAAAAAGACAAACTTCAAATTGTTCAAAAAGTCTTCTACCAGTTAAAATCATGGTCTTGATAGGCTTAATCAATATTCCAACTTCATTTTAAAATCAGGGATTAACTGTAATATTTCAAAAAATTCTGACACAAGACTATGTGTATATATCCTATTCTAAAATAGTAGCTGCTTCAAACCAAATGTTTTTAATTACTTACTGGTTCCTGAAAATTTCACTCTGGACCAGGCAGCTTGTGGAACAGGTCTAACTTAAATTGTCAATTTTCTAAAGGAATAATTATAGAACAACAGTCTCCCGGCCATTGAAATACATTGACTTCTTTTTCTTCATATTATTAAATACCCTTTTGTTTTCCTTGTCAGATGCAGAACTCTCCTCTCCGCCACTGTTGTAGCCATTAACTGTAGGTTTTGCTTTCTCCGACGGCACATCCTGTCTTACCAGGATCTGAATCAGGTCATTTAGGCCAACATTGTAGTCAAACAGTGAATGACCATCTGCCAGCTAAAAAAAAACCAAAAAAAAACAACATCAGCCAAAGAGGACTGCCAGTGTTTTTTCTTCCTTGATTTTACAGCAGCCGTTACTATTCCTACATGAATTGGGAAAATATAGAATATTGAAATCGAAAGATATTCCTCATTTTTCCTTTATTTTGGGAAAATAAAACATTTTTTTGCAAGGGGAATTCAAAGCAGCCTGTATTCGGCTGTTAACCCTTTCAACCCTATGTAACTTTAGTAGACTCTACCATGCATTGACCTGGATGAGTCCATTATGGTCTACAGTGGTGAAAGGGTTAAATTAGGCAAAACATTTCTGACTTTACAAGATTGTCTCACATTTGCAAGATCTCTATGTATTTTATGCTCAAATGCACTTTTAATTTTGGAATATATATTAAAAAGTCAAAATTTTGGTTTTTAGATGAAGATTGAAATTAGCTGTATCTTGTTCCTAATGAACAACTTTCGGATGAAAAATTCTTTTATAACATTTTTTCGTCCAAAGTTATAGCAATTTTAATCGTGAAATTTTAGTATAAAGAATCCGAGAAAATCTCAGAAAGTCAAGGGAATTCCTAACCTACTTAATCCACAGACAACAAGAGTTTCAAGGTCCAGTCTTTTAAGGTCTTAGCTTGTCTATATCTGTTAAAAAACTTTTCAAAACTGACTGCTATGGGCTAGCTGCCAACAAAGTGCACCCAAAAATGGTGTTTGTTGCCCTTCCTGCTATGTCAACAGTTACCATAAACTTGAATGATGTTTAGAGTAAACTATTTGAATGAGATGGGGGATAGCGTGGAAGGTTATAATTGTATTCGATCACAGTCAACATTCTGCAGGTCAGGGAAAACCACTAACTTGCGTATAATACGCAAACTCGCCTATTGTACGCCAATAGGGGTATGGATTTGTTTCTAAGAATAGTCAAAATAACTTTAATCTTAACTTTTTCAAATTGTTTGTCCAAGTCGCATTTATTCAGTCATGAAACATAATACAAATGCAAAAATAAACTTTATTTGCATGTGGGAAAGGACCATAAATAGATGCAATACTTCCTGTAAAATTACATGAAGTTTCCAAAGTAAAGCCAATGCTTTCAGTAAACATATTTTAGCAAAATATTATTTACCTTGTCTTAAATTAATGCGATTATTAATAATATTGTGCAAAAGTTACTGTTAAAGCAATTTGGGTTATTTTTAGTAACAAATCCATACTCCAACTCCATACGCAAGTTGGTGGTTTTCCCCAACCTGTTCTGTAGGGATGAAGGTTAGCTCAAATGGTAAATCAGCAGGCATGGAGGAAGCAGCATATGGTTCAATTCCCATTGGAAGCAGTAGTCCATATCTGTCACAGGTATGACATCATTGGAAAGCCCAGGGCTTGCAATGATGTTTTAATTAATAAATAAACATTTCATAAATTGATGTTGGTTGTGTGCGCACGCTAAAGCTTTCTATATATATATATATATATATAAACATTGACATGTTAAAGAAGGGTAAAAAATTTCACACAACTCTAATCCTGTTTCATTAGCCAGTGTGTTGTAATTTAATTATGGTACTCATAAGATTTTGCGATTTCTTTTAATGTTGTTTTTTCCTTCCGATATATATATTCGCCTATCTAGGTCCAGATCTTTTGTTGCATTAATTAATATGTGATATAATTAGCATCGCGTACAAAAAAAGTTATTTTCCCATTTCTGCCAATGACCGGTTGATGAATTTTATCTTTGTAAAATACCTGTTTCCCTCTGTAGAACAAACGCTGTCGATCAGCTGGAGCATTGAATTTTTCAATAAGTCGCTCTCGCAAATCTTCGATTTTCGTCAACTTTGACAAGTTGTCAACTTGCATAGAAACCTTCCCATCGAAGCTCCTGACTTGAATCCACATTGTTCAGATTCGGAGATCAAACAAACGTAAGATGCCCGTCCGACAACACGTATCAGTCAAAACAAGGGTACATGTGTTTGTGTGGCGGGAAAATAGTAGGGTGTTCCCGCGGTATTTCGGAACATCGCAAGTATCGATATTGAACGATGAGTACCGTCCGATATGTTCCGAAACGCAGGAAGTTGCCAACGACGCGACCTTTGTAGCCTTGACCCTGAATATTGACCTCTACACCAACAGTGGAGTCTACTAGTTGTTTCGTTTTGGAAAGTGGACCGATTGTAGAAGCTTTAATAAGAGAGCCGTTACCATGGCTATCGAGTTTTCACTGGAGAGCGCTCTCTGCGTTGGTATCTCGGCTATAGTATCGCTGATAGCATGGATTAACTATCGAGGTCTAGAATATGTCATTAAAAATTACCGTTGGGTGTTCGTCTGTCTGTTCCTGTTGCCAATGTCGGTTGTCTACGATTTCTACATGTACTTTCGAAATTGGATCGTCTTCCAGATGAATTCGGCCCCAAAACAACATGACAAGAAAGTGAAAGATGTTCAACGACAGGTATTGTTTTAATGTCTTGGTCAGAAATAGTATTGATCTCGTTTCCAGGACGAAAACAATGTCGTCTGCTTAATCTCCGTCTGTGTACGAATCGGCAGATTTATCGATTGACTTGCAAAGAATAAAAGCGACTTCATTTATTACTTGCCACTGCTGTTGTTCGATCAAAGATTATGTTGCCATGTCTGAAGATGTATGGTAACGGTAACACTGGTCTCCTCCACTACATCGATAGTTATAACATGTACAGCAGGTCCAGTACACTCTGCCGATTGAGCTATATAGCTGTAATAAAGACATTTAATAGCTCTATTGACCTATCTGATATAGGTCTTTTGATCTATTTTCATGTGATTTTCATTTTTAAGGAAAACGAAACAAAGTCGCTTTTAAAAGGAGATTTTATCATTAGGTAGATAACAAAAGACATTACCATAAACCTTATTGTTTATGCGACTTTCGTTTAATTTAATGAAAATTGAAATTTGAGAAAATATAGCTCAATACAGCTATAATTTATAGGTGAATATATATATAGCTATATAGGTCTTTATAGCTTTATAGCTCAAACGGCAGAGTGTACTGGACCTGTACAGTACAGATACTATCCCCACGTACAAATACATCAAATATGTACTATTGACTCCACAAGGAAGGATGTCGATGTTAATAAAATGTATATTAGTACGTATACAGTAGCTGGTTATACTGATGATATCAAGATAAGAGGGTCTGGGAGATGGCCTAGTAAGTTGTAAGAATGTGTGCCCAATCCTTTTGACTATTCATGATCAGTATCAATCAAATATGTTTGAATAAATCAAGATTAAGGGATGTGTTTAAGGAAGCAATACATGTATACACTATAAGGAGAGTTAATCCCTGATACTGCAGGGGTATCCTGACAAGATACAAGAAACTTTATTTAACGTCGCATATATCAAACAGAGAAACATTAGCGCTGTAGCGCTATTTTTGCGACAAACATGATAAAAAGCAAACAGAAAACAACAAATCAAGCTATACACTATCACAGAAAGCTAGCACATAATCAGCGAGTAAAACATACAATAACATAGCAGCATATAATTAGATATCACAGGCACTAAATTTAAAGTACTATACTAAAAAATGATGTAAAGTGATAATAGTGAAACACCTGTGCATATCAAACAGGTGTTGCTATATTATAGGAGGGTTAAAACACTTCAAGTGTAATGTACATACATGCTAATATAGCAAAAGAGTAAAAATTGACATAATATACACTAATATAGTGTAAATTAAAATAGGACGACAATGTCTAGTAAGTAAAAGATATTGAGCTATAATGATGATTAGAAGAGAGGGCTAGAAACTATGCTGCCAGTTATTGGTATATAAAAGTGCCATGCAAAGCAGAAGTTAAGCTAAATAGGTTGGTAAATAGATAAAAGATAAAAAAAAAAGCAGGTAACTAGTAATAAAGACTAAAGCACTGAAAAAACATTAAAACTCTAGACACAGGTACAGATACAACATGAGCCAACAGGGCCATCCCAGGAGTGCAGCAGTCTGGCAAACTCTGGATAACTATCCACCTTCCTCAAATGGTTTGGCAGACTGTTCCACACCCGGGCGGCCTCGTAGCGAAAAGACTTCAGTCCATACCTGGTTGATCTTACTCTTGGTAGCTCCAGCTGCCTTTCATTCCTGAGGTTATAAAAAGACGGATTTCATGCTGTTTATTCTAAAAGTTCTAAAACTGGCGTTGTGTAGTCATCCTTAATAAAACGAATGGCTCTTTCTTGTATCTTCTCCATCTTTCTTGTGGAATTTAAACTGTAGAAATGCCATGCCAGGGGACAATAATTAAAATTTGAAAGAATAAAAGATTTAAAATATAAGTTGCTGCCAATCCATTTTAAAACACATAACTGTTTGAATGCTTTCTTGCAAATGTTTGACACATGAAAGTCAAACTTTAAGTTAAAATCAATGTCTACACCCAAAAGTTTAACAACATCTTCACATTTTATAACATGGTCTTTAACAGTATAGGAAGATATAACATTGTGAGTTTTCTTCCCAATGGATATAGCCTGAAATTTGTCAGGATTGGCCTTCATACCATTATACTCTAACCATTTGATTAAAATATTACTCTCCCCTTCGAGTGTATTCTTTAATTGAACAGGGTCAGAGTCAATATGCGACAGTGTGTTATCATCAGCAGGATTATAAAGGGTACCCTTATGAACATAATAAAAGATGTCATTTATGAAAATATTAAAAATTAAAGGTCCTAAAATAGATCCCTGAGGTACCCCCCTCTCCAACTGCTCCCAGTCAGAGACATTGGACCCCAGCCTAGTCTGCTGAAATCTGCCCCCGAGATAGCTACTGATGAGACCGACTGCGGCCTCGTCCAACCCATAAGCAGTCAGCTTCTCGAGCAGCAGCCCGTGAGGAATACACTCGAAGGCCTTGGAGAGATCCATGAGGATAGCACCTACAAACTTGTTCTTATCCAAGGCCCTTCGCCAATCCTTTAAGGAGATGCAGCAGGGTAGACTGGCATCCATATCCCTTTCTGACAGCAGCCAGAAAAAATATTTTTGTTTTTATAGCAAAAAATATATTACTCCTGTGACAATGCTTAATTTTTAACAGGTTAAGGAATGGGTTAGTGATGGCTGCACGAAACAAATGTGTACTGCTCGTCCAGGGTGGATGACGATCAGCTTTCGACAAGGTCTCTACAAACAAAGCAGTCGTAAGATAAAAGTAAACTTGGTTGATATCCTGGAAATTGATTCTGCCAATCAGACGGTCCGAGTTGAGCCACTGGTCAGTATGGGTCAAATTTCTGCTTTCCTCAATCCCCTTGACTGGACTCTACCTGTTTTACCAGAGCTGGATGATCTCACGGTGGGTATGTAGCTTTATGCATTGAAGGATATGTATGATAAACTGCTATAATTTTCTTCTGAATTTTTAACACAAAAACAATCAAATTTTGAATCTTGTTACTCACTGGATACCAGATCAAACTATTTGCCAACCGAGAGTTAAGGCAGTGGAGACTTCCATTTTTTCCAATCGGACAAGATGGCTGTCGTGACTATTCGACTGGTGGAAATTTAGGTATTGTTCAGTTTTGCATAAGTTTGAAGTGTAACCGTATTATGGCACTGCCACCTGGTGTGACTTTTGTTTGGTCAAAATTTAGATGTTGTCCTTTTTTTTTATCAAATTTGGTATGCAAGTACATCAGTAAACTTTGTCAGAGTGATATACATTTTTAGGTCACCTGAGCTTTGGGTGGGGTGGGGATGGGGGTGGGGATGGGGGTGGGGGTTAGTACTCTAAATTTGATAACAGTACAGTTGTAGGTACAACATGACCTGTCAGTCTATACTTATGTTGTATTTTACAGGTGGTCTGATAATGGGAGTAGGTATAGAGACATCCTCACACAAGCATGGCCTATTCCAGCACTGCTGTGTGGGCTATGAGCTGGTCCTAGCAGACGGAACTCTAGTCACTTGCTCAGCGGTAAATGTATATTTAGTGCAACACAAAATACTGACAGTGACAGGTACAGGGTTTCACTCCCTGAAATTTCAGCATCATTCCTATAATGGTATTTATTGTTAATTTTATTTCTTTATTTGATAAAAAATCATTTTCATGAAATGCATAATACCACTTTATGCATTTTACGTTTTAGTTACTTCTTTGCCTCACAAAAAAATAAGTAATAAAGTAGCTACTTAAAGATTATGTGTTTTCATAATGATTGTCAGAACCTAACAATGGAAGGATTTTTATTGTTTTTTTATTTTTATTTTTTTGCTACAACTTGGGCTGTAATTACTTGATATAATCACGGAATTAGATTAGATTGCTAGCTAAGTTCGTGAATCTGATATAATCTAACAAATTCAATTTTAATACCTTTAAATGTTGTATTTTACATTATCCTGCATCTTGTATCTTTGAAAAGATTTTTAGATTCCAATTTCATAACTGCTTTTTCTTTAAAAAGAAAATTCCTTAATGTAAGATTTTTCCTGAATTCTAATGATGCTTTTTAATAAGAAATCGCCAGAAATTCTTATGTTAATCTATATTAATGAAACAAACTCGCGCCTGTTGACATCAAAGTGCAAGTTAAAACTGATGAAGGAAATTCTTGTCACACACAGACACACAACAAAGAGCTGTTTTACGCTGTTCCCTGGTCCTACGGTACACTTGGCTTCCTTGTTTCTGCGGAATTGAAAATCATTCCAGCAAAAACTTTTGTACGGATGGAGTACAGGCCTGTATACACAACTGATGATATGATTGAAACTTTTGAAAAGGAAACCATGAAAAAACGTGACAACCAGTTTGTGGAAGGCCTGGTATACTCTAACAACACTGCTGTTATTATGACAGGAAACCTCACAGATGAAGCTGATTTCGATAAGGTAATTTGCCTGTATAATGTCTTATTATACCTTCAAAACGAAGTTAGGGTAGGGGGAGGTATACTGGAATCACCCTGTATGTCTGTCCTTCTGGATGTCATGATGTCTGCAAAATCCTGTCCAGGTGACTCCTAAACTCTACAGATATCATAATTACCCCATGATGTTGTGCATCTATGTATTGTTTTTTTTTAATCCTTTTTTACAGAGTTATAGCCCTTTGTTGAAAAGTCCTTGTCCCGACAATTTCCTAAACTACTTAGCCCAATTTCAGCGAAACTTTACAGATATGATAACTACCACCTGTCATTATGTAGTTGTGTTATTCCTCTGTATTAATTCATTTGTTTCATCTCCATTAAGGGACACCTTTTTGTTCAACTGTTCTGATAAAATATGTTGGTTCAAAATCATGAAAATGTTATATTTATATAGTATAGTAGTGTCACCTAGCGCACACTTTGAACAAATGATAACTAGTTTGACGGATAATGCACTTTTTTTACCCAGCGAGACCTATACTTGTTACCAAACAAGGACAATGTCACAAACTAAAATGTCAGTGCTTCCTTCGAAACAATAGCCAGAAGAGATAGTCACTGAGGAAGACCTCAAAACCAAAAAGAAAAAAAATAATCTCAATCGAAAGCTTTTTAACTTGCACTCTCAGCTTTAAGCATATTATCCTTTTTGCTTCTTATAGATTAATCCGATTGGTTATTTCTGGAAGCCATGGTTTTTCAAGCATGTAGAAGATTTTTTGAAAAAAGGGCCAGATGTGGAATATATCCCTATCAGGCATTACTACCACAGACACACACGGAGCATCTTCTGGGAACTACAGGTACGTGACTGTGTGCTCTTTGTTCATGGTAAAATAGGTCTCTACACATCAACAACCCATACCTGGAAAGATATGGATACTTTTTCATATGCCATCCATGTAAAGACAGAACTTAATTGTATGAAACTACAATCACTAGTTGTAAATGTTATCATTCTATTAAAGTGATATCTCGGTAAGAAAAAGCAGTATCGCCAATTCATTAAAGTGATATCAGCATAATGAGTTGGTGATATCAATCACTATAATGATGATATCACTAAAAAATTGTGATATCAACAATATTTTTATAATATCACCTGTTCAACAAAACAAAACAAATATTTATTTATGTTTCAGGTAACATGAATAAGAAAAAAAGGGGCAGGTCGGTCGGGATTTTTTTTATTTTATATATTTTATATATTTATTTTTGAGAGGTGGGAGGGGGATAATTCATGTAATTACAAAAATCATCAAACATGTTTTTAGGTCTTTTGTATAATAATAAGGGATTTAAATTTGGTTTTGATACCTTCCTATGAAGTCACAGTCACCCCCATTAAATTGTTGGGGTCAGAGGTAAAAACTGAAAACCTGAAACATACGTTTTATTTGGCTTTATAACGATATCATTATAAGGAGTTAGTGATTGTACATGAGTCACCATTTCAAACAGAATGGGTGATACAAAATGTACCACCAATTCATTAAAGTCACCCTACTTCAATAAAAAGTAAACACTAAACAGGGTCCTTTTCTTCTGGGAACCACCCAGTGATGTGATCTTTATACAATTCTGCCCCTAGGATATTATTCCCTTTGGCAACCACCCAGTATTCCGCTATCTGTTTGGCTGGAGTGTACCACCGAAAATTTCCCTGCTGAAGCTCACTCAAGGGGAGACAACCAAACGTATGTACGAGAAATACCAGATTATTCAGGACATGTTGGTCCCTATGACTTCACTCAAGGAGGCCCTTGGTGTCTTTCATGAAGAAATCAAGGTAAGGTATACCAAAAATTCAAATATTTACAGATTGTCTGATATGATTTTTAACGATACTATTTTTCATATATTTTCCAAGACAAAAATGGACAGGATTACAGTTCTGATTTGAATAAATTTTCCAAGACAAATTCTAATATTTTTGTTAAAAAATTGGTATAACTTTTTCTTGACTATTTAATGTCACCATATGTTCTGCTAAAGAAATATTGAAACCAATCTATTGTATTTGCAATTTTATGGCAAAATGTCAAAGATTTGTTCTAAGACATGGTTTCAGAGTTTCCTTTTGTGAGTGTATAAATGGTCATATTTACAAAATATTGCTCAAATATTTTTATAATTGATTGATTTTGTAATAGTGTGAAGAAAGCTTTGATTTTTTTTTCTGCTTTATTTTTTTTCATTGTTAAAAAACCTTAAAGTGATAATAGAAATACTTCTAACAAGACCCCATAAAAACCTGAAAGACATTTTTTTGATTCAATGTTTATGTTAAGAATTGTATTTCATTGTTTGATATTTTTGCCAGACTTACTATATTCTAGCGTTTGTCTTGATTGACTTTATCTTTTTTTTATTTAGTTTTTGTAGACAGGTAGCTTCTTAACCAAGCAGACTACATTTGAAACTGTAAAACAAAAGGATGTAGTTTATTTTTTTTTCATTTAAAAAAAAAGGGTTTTGCTTGTTAATAACACTAGATTAAAGAATGTATATGGGGTGAAGATTTAAATATCTAAGAGAATTGGTTATAATACAGTATGACTGACCAGTGTCCATATTAGACATTCATAAGGTCTCAGTAATTTTATAACATATTTATCAAAGCTGTCTTGCAAAGAAATGATTACAGCTGGAATCAAGACAGATTCAAACCAAATATTGATTGAGGAAGATATTAATTATAAAGATATGTGTTTAGATGTACCCTCTGTGGCTGTGTCCCTTCAAACTGTTCAACAATCCTGGAATGGTTCACCCAAAAGGGAATGCCGATGAAATGTATGTGGACATTGGAGCCTATGGTTCTCCCAAAGCTATTAACTTTGATGCCATTCCATCTACACGGCGACTTGAGGCTTATGTTACAAAAGTCAATGGGTATGATGCTATTTATTTTAAGGTTAAATCTGAATGGGTTTTCACTATCTTTCCAATTAAATTGTGTTCACTTAAACACACTTTTACATAGAAAATTGTATAGAAAAGGTAATATACTCATTATCATTCTCTTCACTTAAAAAGGTTATGAAGGAAAATTATCACATTTGGTGTGACTACTGAGTCTCATCACTATTTCTTTTTAGCTCATCTGGCCCAGAGCCATGTGAGCTTATGCCGTACTGTGTAGGGCTGTAACGATACACTGCGGTGCACTGAAAACCGCGCTAAATTGCTTCATTTCGGAGTACGATATGTTTTTTCCATGGTTCGGTTCGGTTTTTAGTATTACCCGACTTCAGGAATTTAACCATGCATGTGTAACGTAAAATTGATTGACTCGTATGATAAAAGGTGTACAATAGTTGTTGCTGTTACAAAACTTTGCATAAACAAGAATGCAACATGGCAGGGCTTCAATTAAAAACCCTCCCACTTCCTTTCGCTCGCCTGTCTGTTTGGCAGCATTTTGGATTCCGGCTAAGTGTCCCCGATGGAAAATCACTCTCCACTTGCCGCATAAATTGTTTCGTAGATGAGTGAACACATCAAACATGGGGACGCATTTAAAGGGGAAGCATAACATTTCGTCATCCTGTATCGTATCGTGGGTAGATATCGTGATACGTATTGTATCGTGGCATAGGTGTATCATTACAGCCCTAGTACTGTGGCATCCGTCGCCCGCCCGTCAACTTTTTCTTTTAAACGACTTCTGAAGAAGAACTGGAGTTACAAGGGTCATGATATTTGGCCAGTAGGTACCTAGGATGAAGCGCTATAAAGCTTCCTCATTAAAATGATCTTGACCTACTTTCAAGGTCACAGGGGTCAAATATGTTAAAAACTTCAAACAACAATATCCTAAGAACCATTTGGACTAAAGTCATGATACTTGGGTATGTTATGTATACCAACAGTGCAAATCTTTTTCTTTATTACAGTAATAGGTCAAAGGTCAACTTTAAGTGCTAGTTGGGTGTCAAACATTAACATGGGTTAAAAGCTTTAACAATCTTCTTCTCAAGTTCAATAAGGCCCAGGGTCATAATATTTGGCCAGTATAGGTACATGGGATGAAGTGCTATAAAATTTCCTCATTAAAATGACCTTGAGCTACTTTCAAGGTCACGTGGGTCAAATATGTCAAAAACTTCAAACAACAATATCCTAAGAACTATTTGGACTAGAGTCATGATACTTGAGTATGTTATGTAGACCAGCAGTGCAAATCTTTTCTTTATTACAGTAATGAGGTTAAAGGTCAACTTTAAGTGCTAGTCAGGGGTCAAATGTCAACATGGGTTAAAATCTTTAACAATCTTCTCAAGTTCCATAAGGCCTAGGGTCATCGCGATATTTGGCCAGTAGGTACCAGGGAAAGAGTGCTATAAATATTCCTCATTAAAATGATCCTGACCTACTTTCAAGGTCACATGAGTCAAATATGTTAAAACCTTCAAACAACGATATCCTAAGAAGCGTTTGGTCTAGAGTCATGATACTTGGGTGTGTTATCTTGACCAGCTGTGAATCGTTTTCTTTATTAAAGTAATGAAGTCAAATGTCAACTTTTAAGTGCTAGCAAAAGTCAAAAGTCAACGTGGGTTAAAACCTTTAAATTACAATTTCACAAATTTCAAACAACAATATCCTAAGAAGCGTTTAAGAGATGTTAAAATGTCTTGTGTTCTAGTTACTAAATTTGGTCTGAAGTTACCTATATGTCAGTTTCATGTAACAAAAGAAATAGGTGAGTGATACAGGCCCTCTGGGTCTATTGTCTACGTATATATACATGTGGTTATTTTTTCAGAGGGATATTGGAGAAAGGCAATCAAAGAAATGCACTTTAAAAAACTCATTGTCAGTGCGAAATGGGTAAACATGTTACCCGTCCCCCTGGCTGCCTGCAGTATTAGAATGCAACTTTGCAAAATGTCTCTATGATTTTTGACAGCTCTCTTTACTGATTAGGCCCACTGTGGCTTAGTGAGTTGTTTTAGGGGTTTAGAGTCGAGACATCGGTCATTTACTCTATTTGCTTGACAAAGGAAATAGATGTTATCAATTCCTGTTTGTGTTCAGAACAAACATAGTCATTGTTATTCATACCAAACTGATGAATCTTATTCCACATATTGTCAGTGTTCTCTGCAGGCTGTTTTAGCATAATGGTACCATCACACATAAATTTGGAGCTGCTATACGCATCACCATATTACCATAAGAATGAACTACATTTACTTTCATTTGTTTCTTTGCAAACTTTCCAAAATTTGTTTTACATGCACATTATTTCTCCAGATTCCAGATGCTGTATGCAGACACCTACCTAACAAGAGAAGAATTTCGCAAAATGTTTGACCACACCCTGTATGATGTAATGAGGGATACACTTGACTGTGAGAGGGCCTTCCCCGAAGTTTACGACAAGATCAACCGTAAAGTTAGGACATAGTCATTCAAGCTGGGTAAAAAGCTTGTACACAATGGAAGCTGTTCTGAAAAATTCTCTGGCATAACTCATTTACTTAGTATATGAAATAGTAACTCAATACCTACATACACATGCAAAAGTGTTAAGAATGTCATGATTCCAGATGATGAATTCCAGGTCTCAATTTCTTAAAAAAATAATTTTTAACTTGTATGTAAATTTTCCCAAAACTAATTTTGGCATGTAATCTAAATCATAAGATGTTATTTGGCAGATTTTCATACAAGGATTTCAGAGTAATATATTTACACAGTAAAACCCCGCTAACTCTGGGGATCAGATCAATAGTTCGAGGAATACATGGTATCCAACAAATCCGAGGTTCCACCGACATCGTCATGCTTTGATCAGATGGGACAGAAGTCAGTACGAGCACTAAATATCGAAGATAGTAGATGATCTTAGAAAAAAAAAGTTAAGTAAAGACGACAACATTAAATAAGATGCAAAATTGCTCAATAAATGAAACAAAAAGCTGATGGTATTAAGAAGGAAGTAACATAAAGGAGTTGTACATGTAACGTACTTGTAGTTACCACTGGCAGACAGACCGCATACTGTATTTAGTTATGTTACTTGTACAAAGTCTCAAAACGAGAGGAACTCTTTGATCATTTTGAAATGAAGAAAATCTGGAATCACTGTTATACTGCTGATTGATAACGAAATTAACAATCATGATGTATTCAGTTTTGAATGTCTTTAAAGATGGTTGAGAATCCGCTATGTGATTTCCATTAATACAAAAAAATGTATTGCCCTGCCGAAATATGGTTTTACACACCAAGTGAATTAACACTTTCGCTAAAACATGGATGTTAAACAGTGTCAGGAAATAATAAATACATATATGCACACAGCATGATAATGCAGATACAACAGGGTAACGGTACAGGTATTTAATGATACTGTCGCTTATATTTCAGAGATAACGTTCATATTCATCATTACCGACACGATAATGAAGTTGAGATTGGGCTAGAATATTCCTCTGTATTTCATTCTGTACATTCCAAGTACATTGTATTCCAATATTGAAATAATTATTTAAGTGAGAATTATGAAAAAAAAAAGCATTCGTTTGTTTCTCTGATATTTTATTGCTTAAAAGCGTGGTTTATATTTATATCCTATAACATATTTGTATGTTATTTATCGTCTAACAAATATTGTATATTTACTGGGAAGTTAACAAAAATAGCCATAAAAGTTTGGATATTTTGTTTTGGAGTGGGACAAACTCATGTTCACTAGACAAATCCATGTACATTGTTTAATGTATATGTTTACAGACAAATTAAAGTACATGGTATATGTTTATAGACAAATTAAAGTACATGGTATATGTTTACTAGACAAATCCATGTACAAAATATACATCTAAGATGATCTTATTTTTTCACTAGCACTTCCATGTAGAAGGAATATGTTCACTAGACAATCCATGTACATGGTATATGGTATATGTTCACTATACAAATCCATGTACATGGTATATGTTCACTAGACAAATCCATGTACAAGGGATATGTTCACTAGACAAATCCATGTACAAGGGATATGTTCACTAGACAATCCATGTACATGGAATATGTTCACTAGACAATCCATGTACATGGAATATGTTCACTAGACAAATCCATGTACAAGGGATATGTTCACTAGACAACTCCATGTACATGGTATATGGTCACTATACAAATTCATGTACATGGTATATGGTCACTATACAAATTCATGTACATGGTATATGGAATATGTTCACTATACAAATCCATTTACATGGTATATGTTTACTAGACAATTCCATGTACAAGGCATATGTTTACAGACAAATCCATTTACAAGGTATATGTTCACTAGACAATCCATGTTTATGGTATATGTTCACTATTCAAATCCATGTACATGGTATATGTTTACAGACAAATCCATGTACATGGTATTTGTCCACTAGACAATTCCATGTACATGGTATATGTTCACTAGACAATTCCATGTACAAGGTATATGTTAACAGACAAAATACTGTCATGAAGATATACTTTAACCATAATCTTTTATGAAGTCCATGTTATATAAAGTATATTTCTGTGCTTTTTCTATATAAAAAATGCTCAATTTGATACTTAAATCTTTCATTCAAAGTGGATCAGTAACTATAAAACATAAAGTATGTATGTAATGAGATAACAAATATTTCCCTTCCTAGTGACTTTAAAGTTTTTGGCCGACTAATATATTTTTAAACATGTGTTTATATCCCTAATTGATTGCTGTCTTCTTATTATTAACCTTACTATCTTTTATTTAAAATTTCAGATCAGTACATAATTGCTTCTCAAAGTTAAACTCTTATTTTTTTCTCTGTGATTGCATTGTGTTTACAAGTTTTTGTTTTTAGTTGATAAAAATATGTACAAAATTTATTTGAAGTATAAGCCTACAAAAGTACTATTTGCAGTTCTTCAGATTTCAGTCTTTTATGTGTACTCTTTGCATGTTTATATATATATTTATAAAGAAACATATCCTGTGTTGTATGACTTGAATGCTAGTGACTATATTGTACATTTTGTGCCAATTATATATTATATATTAATGGTTTTATTCGTTAGTTTACATTTTAAATCAAATGATTGGACAGTTATCTTTTAACTCGTCAATTTTACCACTCAGACGGTCTCCTTGTTACGGTCTCTTTTAATATTGTATTTTTAATGTTTAATTATCTTGGTACTTCTGCATATACAATGAGCTTTGTAACCCACTAATCCTGTGTTATTTTCCTTAATATTTTTACATTTCCTTTTTGATCCACGTTTACATTTACCTGTAGATTTAAATGACGCTGTATATAAAGGAGAGGTGGCACGGTCACACCATTCTCCAACTTCAGCTTTACCCACATCTCTATACATATTGATATTGACAAACAAAGTGATAGAGGAAGTTGTATTTGTTGCATGTGATTGATTCATAAGATTGAAATCCTTATGACTTCGTACTTTCTTTCCAAAAAGTACAAATGAAGGGTTCTTATATTTTATAGTATTGTAATGGTATTGCCCGAGTAACAGAACGCGATAATGAAACAAATATCAATGAAGGATACATACTTTCATATATATGTGATGTATAGTATGTTTATGTTTCTGCTGTTGAAGTGTTTATACCAACAAGAGTACATTACCTATGTCTACATATCAGCTGTATATTATTACTATCTTCAAACCTAAATGACTTGATTCTTTCCCCCAAAGCATCAATGAAGGGTTTGCTTTCTGCTATGTACCAAATACATGTATTATCTTCTAATATTCCATTTAACGCTTTATGGGTGTATTTATATTTACCTCAACATTTGTTATATTGATTTACATTTATGTGATTTGATAAATAATTTAAAGGATACTGAACTTGATCATGATGAACAAGTCAGCACTGAATAAGACTGATATTAAAATTACATTTTATCAATGTAAAAAGTTATTTATGACTAATGTAAAATTATAATGTGTACTGTAGTGGTTTTTGCGTTTTTATTGTTAAGACTAACATGTTTGATCTTTTATTGTTTCTGTGAGGTTTATGACTAATGACCTGGTCTGACTGGTGACAAGGTCATATAAATGATGATTATAGACTGATTAAGCCTGGGTCACACATAACACTGATCCAGCAGTATTATAAATGCAGGTACAGAAAGTGCATCATGCATAGACACATTTTACATATTGTATAGTAATTCCAGAACTTTATTAAACCAAGTAAATAGTTAATATATATATTTATTACATACTTCCTAATAAATGTTTTTTTTGTATATGCGATATGACACAATTGCTCTTACCCATATCAGCCCTCGCCGTATCACACCCCAAAAGCCGTATCAGCCCCCGCTGTATCACACCCCAAAACCTGTATCAGCCCGCAAAACCCGTATCACACCCCTTTTGGATTTCTTTTCGTTTTTCAATATTTCAAAAGAAAGTTTTATCATAAGATAGTAGCTTTTATTAGTAAGTATATGTAATAAACAGAATAAAACATGCCTTTTTCCATATTACACCCAGTATCAACCCAAGACTGCAATATCAGCCCTCGGGCCGAATGGTTGTGATATGGAAAAAGCCATGTATTATTCTCTCTATATATATATTATACAACACCATGCCATTCTGAATATGATCGTGTACATGAGGATTATAAGTGTTTGTGTTAGAAGGTTATCAGTGGTTGTGTAAGGCAGGTTATCAGTGTTTGTGTTAGGAGGGTTAGAAAGGAGTACTGGAAGTCTTTATACTTCTTTATACAGTTACTGTTTTTAGCTCACCTGGCACGAAGTGCCAAGTGAGCTTATGCCATGGCGCGGCGTCCGGCGTCCGGCGTCCGGCCGTCGTCAATATTTTACTTTAAACAAAGTTTGTTAAAATTAATGACCTTCACCCATTTTCAAGGTCACAGGGGTCAAATATGTTAAAAAAAGTTTAAGCATCTTCTTCTCGATAACTAAACTTCCCAGGGAGATGATATTTGGCCTTTAGTATGCTGAGATGAAGGGCTACCAAGTTTGTTCAAATGAATGACCTTCAATTATATTCAAGGTCACAGGGGTCAATTGTCTTAAAAAACCTTTAAACAACTTTTTCTCAATAACCAAAATGCCCAGGGTAATGATATTTGGCCAGTAGCATGCTGAGATAAAGGGCTACAAAGTTTGTTCAAATAAATAACCTTCACCCATATTCAAGGTCACAGGGGTCAAATATGTTAAAAACTTCAAAAAACTTCTTCTAAATAACCAAAATGCACAGGGTGATGATATTTTGCAAGTAGCATGCTGGGTTAAAGGGCTATTAAGTTTGTTCAAATGAATGACCTTCACATATTCAAGCTCACAGGGGTCAAATATGTTAAAAACATCAAACAACTTCTTCTGAATAACCAAAATGCACAGGGTGATGATATTTGGCCAGTAGCATGCTAGGGTAAAGGGCTATCAAGTTTGTTCAAATGAATGACCTTCACCTATATTCAAGGTCACAGGGATCAAATATGTGAAAAACATTAAACAACTTCTGAATAACCAAGATGCACAGGGTGATTATATTTGGCCAGTAGCATGCTGAGATGAAGGGCTACAAAGTTTGTTCAAATGCATGACCTTCACCCATATTCAAGGTCACAGGGGTCAAATATGTGAAAAACTTTAAACAACTTCTTCTGAATAACCAAAATGCTTAGAGTGATGATATTTAGTCAGTAGCATACTAGGATCAAGGGCTACCAAGTTTGTTTAAATATATGACCTTGATCATATTCAAGGTCACAGGGGTCAGATTTGTTTAAAATCTTTAAACAATCTCTTCTTAATAACCATGGGTCCCAGGATGTTGATACTTTGCAAGTTGCATCCTGAGATGAATGGCTATAAAATTTGTTCAACATAATGACTTTGTTTGACTTTCAATCACAGGGGTGAAATGTTAAAAAAAAAAATAACAGGGTCTTTTGAATGAATTTTAATCACAAATACTGATATTTTGCCTGTAGGTTTATTTTAGATCACTTTAAAGGTTACACTTGTGAGATTTATACCAGGTGAGTGATGCAGGCCCATTGGGCCTCTTGTTATAAGTTTGGACTAACTTTTGTAGTAGATATTTCAGATTCCTTTTTTGAAACTGCTACAATTTGATTAACATGAGATTAAATGTGAAAGCATGTAATCAGTATCACGGGAACATGGTATAAAGGGATGTTCTTGATACTGCTATAAAGCCAAGTTTGTTTCCTGTTGAAATTTTGAATTCATTATGAACAAATGTTATGCAATGTTTCTTCAGTGTGAAAATAGAATTCATTATTTCTTCATTTCATTCCAGATAGTATAGCTGATATCATTTATAATAAAGTTTTATGGTTTTCCAAAAGATGGAAAAGTCAAAGAAATACCTCTGACAGTGATTTTTTTTTTTAAACTCAGAATCAGTCATATTGCACATCCTTTGTTGCTTTGATATTCTTTATAGTATATTAAATGTGAAAAGGAAATATGACACTGTGTAAAATAAACACAGTCATGGTCATGATATAAGAATTGATTCTGGGGTCTAGCCCCACCCCTAGGGACTTAATCCCTGAGCCATAACTTCGAAAAAGGTTGAGGTCCCCATTCCATAACCATATTTATTACATACTTACTAATAAATACGTTTTTTTTGTATATGCGATACAACACAATTGCTCTTACCCATATCAGCCCCCGCCGTATCACACCCCAAAACCTGTATCAGCCCGCAAAACATGCATCAGCCCGCAAAACCCATATCACACCCCTTTTGGATTTTTTTTCGTTTTTCAATATTTCAAAAGAAATTTTTTATCGTAAGATATTAGCTTTTATTAGTAAGTATGTAATAAACAGAATAAATCATGACTTTTTCCACACACCCCTTTTTTTTTTTTCGTTTTTCAATATTTCAAAAG